TTATAAACTATATATATATATAGGTAGAATATTTTTAGGTTGGTGTAAACATTTTGGTATTTTGAATTATGGCTATAACTGTACTTAGTATTTCTCGTACTTAGTATTATACATAGGTTGGTAGCTAATTGACATAGATAGAAAATGTTATCAGCATTTTTGCTATGGGGATAGTTACAATAGTTACCAACCAGCTACGATTTTACGTTGCTCGTTTTTGCAGGGTATCTAAGGTTGGCCATGACTTTAGCCAAATGCGGTAAACCATGGTACCCCCTGGTAATTTAACATAGCTATTGAAAATGGCCATTTATAGTTGATTTACCTATTAGACATTGTGATTTTCCAGTTCGCTATGCTAGTTTACCAGTGGGTAACCCCCCTGTTTGTCAGAGCATTTTCATAAAATGAAGAGATGGATGTGACACGGTCCGGATTGTTTTTTGGGGGAATTGCCGGACAGCATTCATTAAGGGAACCACATGGAACTATCCACCAATTGCTAGGACAGGACGCTACGAAGCAAGTCTTTGCCATTCAGAGTTTTGTCGAGGTCGCAAGAATCAAACACCACAGACTGAATCAATTTTGATGATTTGAATTTGAATCAATTTTGATTTGTTCCAGGGTTCATCATGGTTCATCATCTATCAGGAGAATCAAGTTTGAGAAAACAACAACATTTTGTGAACGCTTTTGTCTAACAAAAAAAATCCGCCTTTGCCAAGATCGGTGGCAGCCACATCATCAAGAAGCTCTCGGTGAGTATGGTTCCGTGCCCTCTTGGGTGCCTAGTTGGGGGGTATGTTTAATGGGAATTCCAGGATCCTAAGATGGAGGTACGTAAACGTACCATTTTTCCGGCCATAAAAATTGGGGTATTAGGCCTGAAAAATAGGCCTTATATATGCTAGGTACCTCCAACCAATCGGTTCCTGTTGCATGGCCATTGATACGTGTTAGCCCAGTTGTACCCGGGATCTTCGAGCCTTTCACGCATGAAGATTTCGACAACAAAAAGGATGTTACTGGAACGAAACATGTGAATGATGTGCCCAGATCTCGCCAAAAAGCTGGTTTTCATTCAGTTTTATATCTTTGGTATACCACTTAAAAAAATAAAAATAAACACGCACACACATACTGTATTAACTACAGTTCTGGCTACCTTACCATAAACATCCATAAACTCTCTAGTTATACTATAGTTCTACCAGTTATTAACCTTTATTAACCTTAGATCATTTGATGGCTAACCTTTATTGGTTGTGGCTCCATATAGGACAGGTCTCGTTTGCTGAGCTGGATGGTCGACAGGTACTGGCTCAACCTGGAGCTTGGAGTGCTCATTAGGCGCGGACCGCAGAGTGAGTTGTTGACAAAAGCAGCAGAAAAATGTGTGCTTAAATAATCTTAAATATACGTATCTATCATGCAAGAATACATAAATACATATAAATACAATGATAATTATTATTCATGCATACATGTGCAATGTCTATATATATATATATATCACCAATAGACATGGGCATAAGATCAACAAGAATGAGCATAGCAAGACTTGCGTAAGACTTCAATCAAGTTCAGCCGACAACGCCACGTGGGATTGGTGTTTTGAACAATTGGAAACTCAATTCTTAGGTTGGTTTAAAAAAATAAGTGGGTACGTTTTCTTTTGTTTCTGGAACCATTTCATTTCTTGGGGTGTTGCATACTTCAACCATCATATAATTTCATACCCATATATATATAATTTTATTATATATAAATTGTATATTTTATTATTTGTATTAATACATATAGTATTTCATTATATATATATACATATTATACACACACACATGTAGTGTTCCCCATATATCTTGCCCATGGCCCCTTTAAATCAACGCACCATGGCCGCAGGCTATTGGATCTCGCCGAATCCATGGGCTTCAGGGAAGCATCACCAGATGAAGGCGGTGCTATGCAGTCACCGTGGACGCCGCTTGGATGAGTGATATTTTCCGGGGAAAATATGAGAAAATATGGGAGAATATTGTGAAACATATATGAAAATATGGGAAAATATAGGAACATATGGTGATTTCACCCAAAAATGAGATAACTCATGGGCTTTATGTCCGCTTATTTTAGGTCGCTTATTTTTGGTACCAAGTTCACTTGGTGAATTCTGTGGTTATAACTGGGCGAAGCATTGGATTTTTTTAAGGTGGATCTATCTGACTAATTCGTTGGGGGTTTCTAAATCTACATAGAATTACCGGACCCTAAATCCTGTGTTGGTTGATTGTTATACGTTAAAAATATTTAAAAATACTGGGTTATATCAGATTGTACTGGCTTATACCGTTTAAGTTTTAATTGGACTTATTTCCACCGAGAATCGGAATAGTCAAGAACGAGTATAACGGAACGGGATAAGGGTCTTTTATGTGGTTCAAATTGAGATATGGTGGTTGTTTGTGTGGGTTGGGATATGGGGATAGTTGGTGATAATTTTGGATAATTACTATTACTTACTCGTATTAGTATGGCTGGATTATTTGGACTCAATTGAGGATGATAATGGGCTAGAGAGTCCAGCAGGTTTTCCTGATTGAAATACGGATAATTAAAAGGGTACATCCCCAAGAAAATACAGGCTCTAAGAAATCAAAACATCCAAAGTTGGTGAGACACGAATCCCCAACACACTATGAAAACAGCGCATTATGATGAAACACAAACAACTGCTTGGTGGTTTCAAACGTACATATACACAGATATAATCTGGTTGGTGGTTTGGAACCTGTTTTTTCCATATTATATGGGATAATCATCCCAACTGACTTTCATATTTTTCACAGGGGTAGGTATACCACCAAACAAATATACATATCCTCAAACAGCAAACGATTTTTTTTGTGGATTGACCATGTATATATCTTGGCTTCACACTGTAGTACTCACCATGTGGGTTTAACAAACCAGAACTGGAGGGTTTGGGAAACCAAAGGATTGACCTACAGTATCCTCCTATAAAAGGTGAATAACACGAACCATGATTCATGTTAGTGCAAGAAGGATTCTGGTTCGTGTAAATTTAAGGGTAACCCATGGTAACCTATCCCAGCAGGACTTGGGTTACTAACTAGAAACCTAAGTCCTTGTTCGAAGTTATGACTGTGGTTCATAAGACCAGCGAGAAAAAAACTACCCTAAACTGTGGTTAGCCCATGTGAGCCCATTTAAAACTGGTTGGTGGTTTGGAACATTTTTTATTTTTCCATATATTGGGAATGTCATCATCCCATTTGACGAACTCCATCATTTTTCAGAGGGCTAGGGCTCAACCACCAACCAGATTGATTTCTATGAATTAAACATGATTAACCACTATTCACCACCATTAACCATTACTAATAGTGGTCAATAAATGGTTAGTAATGGTTAATAGTGGTCAAACCATCAATGGCGATGTCACCGGGATCATCCCAGTCATCGCGAAAAACATCCCGAAAAACATCGCGACTTCTTGGTGCGTTAAGAACTCCAAGAACTCCAAGAACCATGTTTTATGGTAGATAGCCTCTGGATGCCTCTGGTAAACTGTCACGTCACGAACTGGGAAAAAAAAACATTGTTTCCCCATTATGGTAGGTTATATATATATATTAGGAAACATCAATGGCAATGGTTAATACTCGCTATTTCGCTGGGAAAATATCCACGATTTCGACTGGGCCCTGGCTTCGCTATGGATTGGTAAATCACCAGTGAACGGTGGAGATCCCAGAAGTCGTTCGGTGCCGCGCCGATCCTTGCGGATGGATTTAGCAAGTGACAAGGCCTTAATAGCTGGGGGGTTATCCTCTGGTAAACATACAAAAAACTATGGAAAATCACCATTTTTAATGGGAAAACTCACGATTTCGACTGGGCCATGTTCAATAGCTATGTTAAATTACCAGAGAGTATCCCATTTTATCCCCATTATGGTAGGTTATATGTTCATATGGGGTTTTCCGAAAATGGGGAAATTCCCAAGCTCGCTGGATGGTTTAGAATAGAAACATCCCAATCTAATAGCTGGATGATGACTGGGGGTACTCCTATGACTTAGGAAATCCTCATATATTCCCCTGATATGTCCATTACATACCATTAAGATGCCATAAAAATCCCATTGAATCCCACCAAAATCCTATGACATTCCATGAAAAAATACCATTGACATCCCATGGATTCCCAATGGTTATATTAGTTAAGTTATATACCCCTTATATTCCAGTGATATTCCCATTGTATAGCCTTAACATTTCAATATTTCAAAACCTTAAACGAAATGTCAATAAATCGTATACCATTCCTATTATTCCCATAACATGTCATTCAACAAATTCATGAATATGTTATAAAATGCAATGTTTATTCTTTAAATGCCACAACAATCCCATACACTCCCATAGAATCCAACTTGAAAAAATCCCCAAAATGATGGCTTGTATTCTCTTCCCATTGTCTACCAGCGCCATGCTTAAATCATAGTACACCAAGCAAGGTGATCCATAAATTCATCATACCCTCTGGTAAACTCACATAGCTATGGAAAATCACAATCTTTACTTGGTAAATCAACTATAAATGGGCCATGTTCAATAGTTATGTAACATTTTTTCAGAGGATAGCTATGCTTATATATATATATATGGATAACTATACTTATATATATATAGATATCCCATGAATATCCCATTCGTATTCCATTAACATTCCATATTCCATTTTCAATCGATATGTTGAATTACCAGAGGGTAAATCGAAGCTCGGAGCAGGTGTCCGCGTCCCCTTGGAACCGCCGCAACAGCCCTCATCCCTGGCGGATGCCAAACATATGGAGGTCACCAGGGTCACCAGGGTCACCGCGAGGATCCGCGAGGAACATTGCACCAACAAGTTGGCAATGAACAAAAATAACATGATTGATTGGTTAATAATGGTTAATATATAGGGACTGTTACTACCTAATGATTGATTTGTTGATTTGGGGAATGTAGTGAATTTTTGCATGGGAATTTAACAGCCATGAATCAATGGGATTCATATAGGCTACTATGAAAGATATGGAACAGTTCACCATATTTCATCAACAAGAAGTGGTGATTGGTTCACCCAATGGTATGGTGATTATGATAATTATCAATCAAAAAAAGGGGGTTGTGAAGTCAGAAGTATCATAGATATGGGGATGTAAGCGATATATTTCTGATTGAATGGGAAATCATACCATTTGTTCATGGGATTTTATAGGGAAGAAATTGGGATATCATTGATAAATGATGGTTAATTGGTTCTAAGGGGTTGTACTTTCCACTTTATTGGGGAGCATGATGGCTTATGATACCCCCCTATATGGGATACCTATTTACCAAGCAGTGTTTTTCGGGATGGGAAAACATGGCATTTGTCATGGCTCAATCTGGATTCATCAGAATGGTTTTCAGGAAAATCTTCACCGATCTTGACCGGAAACCATATGTTTTTTTTCCATATCAGGGGTTCCTGTCAATTTTCCATTAAACCGATCCATTCATGGATGAAATCCAGTTAAATCCCAATGCGATCCCGATTCCCATTCTGATTTTCACCGGATCTCCGTTAGAAAATCGCCCATGTTCCTGGAGCATTTTTCAATCGCAAGCCCATTGGCTGCTGATCTCCAGCATGGGTAAAAATGACCGCGCTGGAGTTTCAGGGTGTTCAACTTTCACCCGTATTCATGTTGGGTTTGAACTTTGAACCAGCCGAAAAACTACGATTTGAATGACAGAAGTTGGTCACCATATGTCACCATGACATTCCGAGTCTCTCCACAATATATGTCCATTGTATCCACAATAGCCCATTCAAATAGCATAAAGATCCAATACCCTCTGGTAAACTAAGAGTTTGCTACTGAAGCCATGGCCATGGCTACTTCGTTGATTTACCCCCGAATTTACCGTGATGTAAAAAAATGTTATGTTCTGTTTCGCAAACTGTTAGTTCACCACAGGAGCCCCCCAGTTATAAGCTGGTTTATAAACCATTATAACCCCATGAACTAGTTCGTTATATCCACCATAAACCATCGAATTCAGCCACTTTTCTAAGGCAACAGTTCACGCCATCTATCGTTCACGGGGGCCCCATGTAGAGGCTCCAACAGACCAAATCCAGGTCTGGCGATTGGAAACTTTAGTTCGGAGCCTTGGACATCGGGCTTGGAAGATTAGTGAAACCACTAAAAATGGGTGATTTTCAGGGTCAAAGTGTTAGTTACCCTCTGGTACACGTTTACATCACGAACTGGACAATCAGCATTTTTACGAGGTAAATCAACCATAAATGACCATGTTCAATAGCAAACTGTTAGTTTACCACAGGGTATTGTAACCATGATTCATAGGGAATTTAACTATCAACAGATGGTGATTAATATTTTTTCTTGATGGTTGATTGATGATTTGATGGAATGGAGACCAAGACAATTGCTATCTTTATGGCAACATTATGTTAACATTATGGGAATCATTGTGAACATGAACTAAATTGGCTTCAGGATGGTGTGGCCGTCCATCAATAGAGCGACCATAGCGCAGAGGTCTTGGCATTGTTGAAGAGAATGTCAGCGCTGAAGATCACGATTTCTTCACAGAATTGCAACTCTATGGCCGAAGGATTTTGTCTAGGTCATGTAGCTGCGGTCAATCGATGTATCCCTGGTTCACTCGAGTTTTGGCTTCATAGATTTCCATGGGAAAACGACACGGGCACTCCCACAGGAATGATCCTTCAAGCTGGTATCTGTTGAAAGCGACATGTATCACAAACACATCTCAGTTTTCAATGGTTGTCAGAGTTTATATCTCCAAGCAGCTAACGAACTTGACAAACTACCAGCTTCAGAAATGTAAATCTGACCGCTGAAGCCACAAATTCGCATTCCCAATGGCCTACAGGCAGCAAGCCCTCTCTGAAAATCAGCCATTTGTTGCAGCTACTGGAAACCGACCCAGCGCTGCCACTGCTGACATCCCCCAGTCAGATATTGGCTGCCCAAATCTGTCAGGTGTCATGTCCTGCTTGATCTGTCAGAAGATTGTGAAGGGCGGACTCAATGCTCTGAAGGCCCATCAAAGTTCCTCCAGTAGATGTCTGTTCGCCCAAGGCTTGGGGCCGGCACAAAGCCCTTGCCCAAAGTGCAAGAAGCTGTTGGCTGGAAATGATCGCTGGGCACTCCAGCAGCACCAGCAGTTTTGCCCTGGAAATTCGCCAAGAGAACCTCCATCCTCCAGTGGACGAGGTTGGCACACCTCAAAAGCTGGCAGACCAGAACGCTGGCGCTCGCCCCGCCGAAAAGCTAAAACAGAAGAGCAAGATGGGCATTCAAAGAACTGGAACCATGGGCGTCATGGTCATGACAGAGATGATGACAATGGTCATTATGATAATGATGATATTCATGAATATGAAGCTGATAATGATAACCATCACCCAAATTATCATGACCAATCTACCAGCGAACACACGTGGGGCTCCTCTGCTTGGCAGAGCTGTTGGCGCATCACTTCCCAACGAGATGCCACCAACGCTTTGCAAGACTGGTCTGAGTCTGGCGCTTGGTCCCGTCATGATTGGCACTGACTAATGCCTACTACCCTGCCAAGACAAGCCAGAACTGAATATAAAGTGCCACAATGTCAGTGCATTCAGCCTTGAATTTGCATGACCATAGACACATGATCAACAAACAAGCTCCGAGAAAACATCTAGTGCTGCAACATTAAGCATCTGCACTGGTTGCTCAGCTTGGGCCATTGGCAAAAGTAGAAGCACGGCTACAGATGGTCATGCAAACAAAAGAAACTTCCTGTGGATCTGTGGTTTGTAAGAAAGAGACATCTACTGATCTAGGCCAATCATGTTCAATCTTAGATGGGTAGTTTGATCCTTTATTTTGTTTGGTATCAATGGGATTATCTACGTTCACCAGCTCAGATTTTTTCTTTGTTTTGGCAATGTGATGACCCCTCAAGTCTGTGACTGTGAAATTTTGTATCCTCCAAGACCTCCCGGCTCTCAGGGGTTGACTTTCCAGCGATAAACCGCTGGGACAAAGACAAAAGATGTGCACAGTGTGGTGTGTTCATGTGCGTTTATCAGGAAGCATTGCTGATTATTTTGGGAAGACATGAGCAACTGGTTCATTCATAAGTAGATGAGTTAGGAATATTCAGCAATATTCACTAACTGACTGTTTTCATATGGAGGTTTCCTAAAATAGGGGTACCCAAAATGGATGGTTTATAATGGAAAATCCTATTAAAATGGATGATTTAGGGGTACCCCCATTTTAGGAAACCACCATATGTGAAATCCTTCGGTTTGTTGGCTTTCTAGAGTCAAATGACGACAGTTTCTCAGAGCTGGATCTTAGACAGATCGGAAGACGCCCATGTTTGGGAGGAACAAAGCAAACCTTTCCAGTGTGTCCAACAAAAATGGTGATTTGATGGCAATTTAACCAACAAAGATTGGGATTTAATTAGCAAAAATGGTGATTTGATGGTGATTTCCCTTAATGAACCCAGGTCTACAGCTGTCATTGGGTTGGTGTGACGGAAAATGTAGAGAATCCTGTTCTGTATGTTGTATGTTGTGTTGACACATCAAATACCTGGCTTCTCTGTACAGTAGATATTCTGCTAAACTCGTTTTGGGAACAATGCTACTTGGACCTGGTTTTGTGCAACCGGTGCGGAAAAATCAGGTGGAAAAGTGATCAAAATCCTTCTTTGATTGGGTATAATAGGAGATTAATGGCAGTTATGCGTGGTTGCATGGTATTATCATCATGATACTACCTGGAAAATTCAATATATTTCTTTGACGACGGGTAACTGTGAACCCCCTTCTCAAGACACCATTTCCCAAGATTAACACCATATTATAATCATGTTTTTCTAGGATATACCCAGGAATGAAGCTGGGTTATGATCACCACTTAGAATTTTTGGGATTCACTTGTAGTAGGATATATCCCATTACACCGTTTTAACAAAGCCATTAAGTATCCCATGATCCATTAGTACCGATGATAATCACCAATCATCACCATTACAATTTATAAATATACAATTACACTTATATTTATGAATCACAGAATCACATGATGCTCAATAGATCTAAATATCATTTTTCCATATGTTTCCCATCGAATGATTCATCCAATAAACCCATCAGAGAATCAGGTCGTGGAACCTCTACGTTTGACCATCATGGTGCGTTCGCCGGACGTGGCGGCGACGCGCGACAACACCATCGCACGACGGATCCGCTTCCTGCTGGGAAACTCAGGACAAGCACGGCGTTCGCAGGGTTTAGGGGTCAAGTTATAACTACTATAAATGGTATAGCCATTGTAGTTAAATATTTATAGTTATTGTAGTTATAATACAATTAAAACAATCTATATACTATAGGTACTATAAGTTAGCTAAGCTGGTGCAAATAACTACAATAACAAGTTGGTGTATGATACGCAAATGGCAAATAACGATATTTTGATGGGGTTATAAACCAACAAACATAACTGGGGGGGGCCATCCTGTGTTAAGTGACTGTTACACCCCTGTCGGTTGATGATTTTAAGGGGACAATGATCTATTCATGGGAACATGAGTTTAATGGGAAAATTATTGATGTACATCAACGTTCAAACCCTTGTTGGTTGATGATTTGGTGGTATTTAATGGATATTAAAAACAAATGTAACCATGCTTAATGGAGATTTAAAGTATCAACACATGGGGATATAAGAGTTGATAGATGATGGTTTGTTGATGCTTATATGATCTTATATGGAGTTATACTGTCCCATGTAATTGGGGGTTACCACAATCCATTTTGGGAAATCCTATTGCTGTAACCAATCAGTACATTTTGGATCAAGCAAAATAGATGGCTAGAGGAGGGAACCAATCATCCCGAAGGGATGATTCTCCATGATGCGTCGACACTATGCCGCCAAAATATGGTTTGTTCAATGTCGTGTGTGTAGCTTTACGTACAAATTGTGTCTATACGTAGTATGCTCAACAAAACAGGACCCCAGCTGCTGCTGCATGATCAACCATGATCCATGTGGGAAGTCATCCTGTAAAAAGGTATATGTCAAGTTGCTTATTCCAAATAACACCATTTGCCCCAAAAAGAGTCAGCCAAGGGGTGTGTCAACCACCAACCATCCGTAGTTGGCCACCAGCATACAAGATGCCACCGTCATAACCCTCTATGCTTCCACCCAGAAAAAAGTAAAATTACATATCCACCATAAACCCAATGTACTTGGTTTGCGATTTTGTTCATCCAACTGACTATAAAATCATATAACAACTATAATTCAGATAGAATTCCCAAGTTCTTTTGCGTTCTTTTATATATCCGGACTCTTCAGTGGTTGATCCATGAATGTTCTGTGGCCCGAAGCCAGGCCCGTGGATATGCCCAACATGGATTTGAAGGTGGATAGGCCTGGAGACCTGGAACACATTGGCTTTTTGCTGGGATTTCACCCAAAAAAATGATGGTGAAACATATGGGGATCTGGTTAGTTTAAATATGTGCTGGTTGGTGGTTTGGAACCATGGAATTTTATGACTTTCCATATATTGGGAATAATACTCCCATTTGACTCATATTTTTTCAGAGGGGTAGGTCAACCACCAACCAGTGTGTATTTGCCAAATCAACAGTTTTCAATCATACTTGGGATGATTCATTGAGATGACAACAACGTTTTTTGTGATAGGTTAAAACCATGAAGTAGGGATATGATGTGATTGTTTAACCCAACACGATATGGTATAATGGGATTTCTTGGCGGGAGAGAGTTTGATTGAAGCAGGTTGCTTTATGAAGAACATGTGTTTCTCGAAAAACAAATGCAGGGTCTTCAAGACAAACAAGTCATGGAAGATTGGAGCCAAGTTTGGTACTAATCGACTCCAAGTTGCGTCCAAAGTTCTTGAAACATTTGGCCGCTCTATGACACATTTGACCCATGGGACTCTGGTGATTTGAGATATCCCACATCCCAAATATCAGCTGATGTGTTACTATTGCAGAAAACATATCGACCAAACATCAAAACATGTCGACTAGACAAAAAACATTTTAAGAAATACCATGATAGATTGGAACATCAAAATACCAAAGTAATATTCATAGACAAATACCATGACAAAGAAATACCAAAGATCTCCAATTGAAGCATCCAAATTTTAAACCCAAGTGATCAGAGGAGGTGTCAAAGGCGACATACCTAGACGGTGATCCCTCCTTCGATGCATCTACCTTCTTGTAAACTAACAGAGCGAACGGGACAATCTCCATGTTTAAGTAACTAAGTTGATAAAATCAACTACCCTCTGGTAAACTAACATAGCTATTGAACATGGCCATTTATAGTTCATTTACCCATTCAAAATGGTGATTTTCCATAGTTATATTAGTTTACCAGAGGGTATCTAAATGGCCATCTTCAACAACTTTGATACACCAGAGGCGACCATAAACTATAGTTGCTTTGAAGTTATGTTACCCAACTTAGCTAATTATATATATATATATATGTATGATATGTGTCATATCTCCATTGTATTCCAATGAACACCTCCCGTAGAAAATCACCATTGTTGTTTTCACGGGGATCGCTGCCGTCCAGGACGGTGCTGACGAATCAGTTCGGCTCGATCCAACAGATCTTGGGCACGCTGGGAAGTTTGTGCCCAGAGCTGTAGCCTCCCGGTGAACAGCACGCTTTGTGGTGGTTAATGATGGTGAATAGTAGAGAATTATGGCTATTCATGGTGGCGAATATGGCTACTGTATTCATGGTGGTGAATTATGGTGGGTAATAATGGCTAATAATAGCCAATTACTGTACAATGGTGGGTATTGGCTAAGTTAATAATAGATGGCAGATCATAATGGTTAATAAGAGAAGAATAATGGTTAATATTTATGGTTAATAGATCCCATTGGCTGAATCTCGTTATGGCAGATGATAATGGTTCATAATAGCTAATTACAATATGATGAGAAGATATATAATGCGGATAAATATATATATATATATAATATATACACATAATGGGATATATCTGGTTAAGTGATAACAACCTCACTGTTCTTCCTCACTGGAATCATGGTGAATGTATAGGGCAATTATCACCAAATGGCCGAATTTTGCAGATTAGTGAAATCTTACAATTTACTCAGATGGTTAATAATGCTTAGTAAGGGTTATTCATGGTTGGTAGGGGCTGCCTCTGATGATGATACTCGATGGAATATTAATGGGATATGAATGGTTAATAATGATTAATCCTGCTTAATCATGATTAATCGTGCTTAATATTAATCTTTAGGAATGGTTAATACTGGTTAATACTGGCTAATACTGGTTAATACTGGTCAATACTGGTTAAACTGGCTAATACTGATTATACAAACATGGTGATTCATGGTGAGGAATGGAATTAACGGAGGTCAATGGTGATGAATGAGACTAATATGTATATGTGACACATGAGATTCCATATATTAAGGGGATAATAATCGGGATACCAATTATTGGGATATAACCGGCCGGTGTCATCCCACGTAGCTGGCTTCAGCCCCCGAACTAGCCATGGGGCCATGGGGCCATGGGCTAGGGAGAATCATCGATAATATTAGCATCATGGTTACGAACAAAAATGCTTGGTGGTGCAGTTGATTTACCCTCTGGTAAACTAACATAGCCATGGAAAATCACCATTTTTAATGGGAAAATCCACTATAAATGGTGATGTTCAATAGCTATGTTAGTTTACCAGAGGGTAACCATGGTAAGTAAGTTAAGCCCCAAGAGTTGGGATAGTTCCCCCAAAAAAAAGGCCCTTTCTGAGGTTTGTATAGCTGGCAGTGCACGTACATACTTGGACCGTCTTCCCAAGAGCCTTTCTCCAGGTACAAGAGAAAGGCCATGGGTTAGCGCCTGGGTTGGACAGGCTGATGGAAATTATCGAGGATGGGAGCGTTAGACTTCTCAATGAACTGATGAAAATATGGGTTTACACATATACCAAAAGGAAGCTTCAAATCACTTGACAAATGAAAACCATGAATTTCTCAACTTATTTCCGGAGATTTTCTGAGTACGTTTTTTTTTTTTCAGACCCCTATTGTAAGGGGACTAGCCAGCGGTCGCTGCAAAGGTTGCTGAACATTGGGCCCTCTTTGACGGCTCCCAGCTATTTCCAGCAGGATGTTCTTTACTGTATTTTGGGGAGAATTGTGATTTATATGTAACCAAATAACCACTAGAACTTGAACTTAGTTTTTTAGAGGAGCTGGGAACCAACAATATTTCCATGTTTTTCTGAAGATCATGTCACATTTGCCATGCCAGAGACGTGGCATCACCGAGATGTTTCACCAGTCATGGTTTGATGTATGGAAAAACCCAGGGATTTTGTTTTTTTTTTTTACACAGCCATCAACCACTAGATGTTCACCCTTATGGCAGTGCTGATTCATGATGTTATTCTATGTTTGAGACTTGGGTTGGTAATTGTCCCATTTTGGGAATATTGGACATCACCTGAAAAAGTAGCCATTACCATATACCTAATGGTTGGGTGATGTTCAATGGGGACATTTAGTGACCCATGTTTGAGACTTATAGTAAGTTCCTATTGTTGTTTGTTTATACAGCGGTGTATGATCATTGCTGTTGGAAGAAACCTTACTCTGTTACGTTTGACCACTTGTCTCTAGAATATACATACCTAACCATGTTAAACCGCTTGAAAGAAAGGATAAGAAGGGCATCTCTGCAATAATTGTCAATTATTTGTGTTTAAGTTACATACATACATTGTATATATATACGTATATACATATATATATATACACATGAATTTCACAGTGTATCCCCATGTGTGTTTACCTTACTATATTTTTAATAATATTGATTTAACCATTTATTGAATACAAGACAATGTTAATCGTCAGTACACAGGGACCATGACTGAACATTTCCAGAACTATATATATATCAGTTTTCTACTAGTCACCAGTCTACTCAGTCATGATTTAGCTTCCTGGTCAGAGGGACAGAGTCGTGAAGCAGTTCTCCAACACGGAGACTTATTGAGCAACTACTTCATCGGAATGCAGAAGATGACGTCAAAATTCAGGAGCATGTACAAGAACTTGCATTTGCTCACAAAAAGATTGGGATCTAGCTTTGTTACAGCCTGGAGCGATTCTCTGATGCAAGGAATGCAAGGCTATTCAGATTCTTGGCTTCATTCACACATCTCGAAATTTGTGATAAAGAAGTTCAATCAACTGGAAGATCTTCCCAAAATGCTGACCGCTCAAGGGGCACACAACATTGACGATGTGCTGCTCACGATCAAGACAGAAAGCAAGATATCATCAAAAGTTGCAGAAAAACTCTTTGGAGTGTTGGAATCAACATACAAAGGCTTGGGATACATCATTGACAGAGCAAAGTCTCTTTTGAGTGATTGCAAATTTGTGCTTCTCAGCCGGTATTTCATCAGAGGTGCAGAGCTGATGCTCCCGTTGAAAACTTGCATTCGAGCTGCAGTATCTCTCAAGAATGAATTGCCTTGTCTATATTCAAAGGTGAATGAAATATTAGCCTTTTACAAATCCATTCAATCACGGCCAGTCTCTAACTATTACACAGATTTTATCAAATTCTGTGACCTGTCTCATGTAAAGAGTATGCTCTAGCATGACTAGAACAACTTCACCTGGTTGGTGGTTTCAACCATTTCTTATGTTCCATAATATATGGGATAATTAATCCTTCCCATTGACTTTCATATCAAGATGGTTAAAACCACCAGCCAGTCACTGTTTTTAACCAGTATTAACCAGTATTAGCCAGTATTAACCCGTTTGTCTCCGATGGACAGGCTCGAAACTCGGCTCTGTTGTCGGTGATGCTCTCGTACATGGCAGCCATTTTGAAGGCGCGCTGATGCGATGAGATTCTGGGATGAAGATTTCGGCAAAAGACGGGCCCCATGAAATTCACCAAGAGGTAAAGTAAAAACACTGATGTTGCATCATGTGTATATATGTATATATAACCATAACTTCAAAAACTATGGATCTCACATGGAAAAACACTGATTCAAAGAACCAAAGGTGAATTTCCTATTCAAACATGCAGCCTGGCACCTGCCCAAACATGAATTTGGAGTGGCTACCCATGGCTAGGATTTTCCAGCCAGGTTTGCAGGAGGCACTGTAACTGGTTGGTGGTTTCATGGGATTCATATGGAAAATCCCCTAGAAAAGCCATATGGAAATGGCGATTTCATGGTGATTAATGGTGATTAGTGGATATTAATGTCTGGTTGGTGGTTTCAAACATTTGGATTATTTTCCATGTCATATATGGGATGTCATCCTTCCCATTGACGAACTCATGGTTTTCAAGATGGTTGTTGCACCACCAACCAGTCACTGTTTTTAACCAGTATTAACCAGTATTAACCAATATTAACCAGTATTAACCAGTATTAACCAGTATTAACCAGTATTAACCAGTAAGCAGCAAAACTGATCACTGCTGACTGGATATTTTTCCACCGAACTTTTTTGGGTTGAAACTAGTGAGACTTGCGAGACTTGTTCAACTGTGGATCTCCAGCTGCAGATCCGACAATCGCAACCCTTGAACCATACCCTCTGGTAAACTGTCACATAACTATGGAAAATCACCATGTTTAATGGGTAAATCCACTATTTCTATGGCCATTTTCAATAGCTATTTTGACATCACCAGAGGGTATATGACTATGGGATGTGCTGTTTGCACCAGTGAAATTTTGATGGAAACCTCAAGTCAATGGGCCTTGAGACATTTTGGGACCAACCCCAAGCCGCGAAGCGTTGGAGGGAAGCATGAATGCCCTGTGGTGGTTGGCTCGTGGCCCTTATGACGTCCGGAAGCCCACCGTGGATGGTTAGGATATTACATGGCTCAAATGCATATATACTGTAATTGAATATAACTCCATTACATCCCATTAAATCCTCATTAAATCCCACTAAATCCTCATGAAAAATCCCATGAAATCCCATGTTGAAAAAGCCATCTTTAGATCGAAATGATGGCGGTGCAGATCATTTACTTAGTCTCGGGAAAAAAAAAAAACTACCTCTGCTGCTACCTCTGGGGGGGGATTAAGACCATTTATCCTTCGGTAAAAAAACAATAGCTATTGAAAAAAAACAAGATACATTTATGATCATTTATGGATATATATATATATATATATGGATGATTAGCATATTAAAAATGATGATTTTCCATAGTTATATGTTAGTTCACCAGAGGGTTAAACAAATGTAAAGTTGCTTACGGAGGGTTTGCCAGGGATCCAAGAGAGAGTACAAAACGCGTCTTGCGTTTTTTCCCTGGAATTGGTGCCGAAAAAACGCTTCTTTCAAAATCACATACCTACCATCACTGCCAGTGAAAACTTGATGCGATTCTGAAACCCTCCTGGTTGATCGCCCAGGTGAAAAGCTGGTGATTTTTCAATACCTGGTGAAAGCTTGAAGAAAACCCTGGTGAATTTCCAGTGAATTTCCAATACATGGTGAATTTCCAAAACTTGGTGAAAACCTGGTGAAGAAGCTACTGCACCTAGCCATGGGGTGACTACCCTCTGGTAAACGTTTACATAACGAACTGGAACATCATCATGCTATTTAGCTGGGTAAATCAACTATTTCTATGGCCATTTTCAATAGCTATTTTGACATCACCAGAGGCTGTACACTGTACGCCTAGAAAAATGCAGAACTTTCTTGACGGATCATCCCAACTTCAGAAGTACCGATTGTGAATCGTCCTGCGCCTGCACCAGTTTTGAAAAAACGGTGGTTTTTGAATCCCATGATTCACAGGGAAACTCAACATATTTCAACATGTTTCAACATGTTTCAACCATTCTTTTTCTGGTGGTTTATCAATGTTTATCGGATTTCGCTGGCCCATCCTATGGAATTCAGATGACATATGTGAATTCAGCTTGCCCAACGATGCCCTCTTAGGGTTGAACGGATCTGAAGCTGATACTGTATCCATGGCCGAAGCCGCAGAAAAAAACTTTGGGACATGCAGCAATTGAAATGATTCGTACAGCTGAAGCCCTTTGCCAGTTTTAAAGGATATAAATGGATATAAATGGATATAATTTCAACTAAGTCCTCAATTTCATCATTGATCTTCCTGATACAACGATTTACAACCAACTATAGTCAACTATACAACCAAACAGGGGGGCTTGACCATCAAACATGTCGATAGAATGCGGGTACATTGGTACATACTAGGACCAGGGATATAATGCGATATAACGAACTGAATATGAGACTATGGGTCTGTGTGAAAATTGTCTATCCTCCCAAGCTTGCAATTTCAATGTGGAACATGATCATCAACCATGCAGTTAAAGCCCGAAAAACCACTTAAAGTTGTAAATGGGGTTTTCATTCCATAAATGGGGTGACTTACTGACTTAAAACTGGTAAATGGCCATAAACTGTAGGATTCTAGTCTTCAAAACGTTGTTTCTTTCGCATGTTCCATGCTCCAGAACATTCCAGATTCCCATCGGATCCCATCCCATCCGGGTTTTTGGGTTTTCTCAGGCTTTGGACGCTGCAAATCAGAACGAAGGAGAGAGAGATTGGTTCTTCTGGGTCTGGAAGCCCCAGCCTAGCGCCAGCCTAGCGCCATCTGTCGATGTCTCCGGAGGGATGACAAATATATGATGGATGTTTCACCAGTGACCAATAGGGTTCTATAAAAAATGCAAAAAAAACAGCAGAAAATCCCTTACCCCTGATACTAAACCCTAAACCCAACAATAAACACCTCAGATAGTTTTTATTAGGCTGGTATTTATGATTAGGGAACCAAAGCGGACCCTAATACATAATAAATTTAGACCCTTAATAACAGGACATGTATTTTCTTTCTTTTGTTTCAAAATCAATTCAATTTCCTTTTATAATCCAATTAACATATTGCCAAAAATTGGATTTCGAAGTGGACCCTAATAATAAAAAAGTTTTTTTTTTGATTCCAAAATCAATTCAATTTCCTTTTATAACCCAATTAAAATATTGCCAAAAATTGGATTTCGACGCTTCCCCCTAATATTAAGTTAACAATTTTGATATAAAAAAAACTCTTTTTTTTGGACGGACCCTAATTTAATAAACACCCCGGGGTTAACTAGTTTGTATTATTAGGGGGCAAAACCTACAAATGGTAGCTTTATTCTTAAATTGTTTTCTAAAGGGGATCAATTAAAAGTCAAATTGGCCAACCTGAATTTTTCTAAACTTAAAGATGGACCCTAGTTTTCATGATTTGGGGGGGTTTAGTAATAGGGGACGGTATTATAAAAAACCAACAATTCTTTTATGGGGATACCATGGGATAGGTATGATTCGGTATGATATATATATATATATTACCCATATGCTCCATGTATGGAATATTTACCAGCATTTACCCTAAAAATCACCCAAATGTACGTAAATATACCATATATGGAGCATATGGGTTATACACATATATAATTTAATGGAGGAAAATCGTTCATTTTTCATAGACCCCTTGTTTTTTGTGGTCACCTTTGGCTGTTCGGATCATGTCCTGCCCGGCAACAATCCTAACTGGGAAAGCACAGCCGAAAAAATGGGCTTACTCCAGCTTTGGGAATTACATACTAGTGGGATATTCCATAGATATAACTATAGTTATAACTAGGTGATACTAGGTGATTCCATATATAACTAGGGGTATATCATGGTATATCCCATAAAAACTCAGTCGGATGCACCCCCCAAGTTGGGTGAACTAACGTAGATGTGGTTTTCCACCACCATCAATGTCGATCATTTTCCGAACGGCATCTTTTTGGTACTGGTTTGGTGGTTTGGAACATGTTTTTCAATGGATTGGATTAAGGGAAAATTTGCAGGAAACCATTGATTTTCCCATTAAATATGGGGTTTTCCTGTAATTTTTCCCTTAAACCAATCCATTGAGTTTTATGACTTTCCATACTGTATATCCCTTATGCTCCATGGTGCTGGAATATTTACCAACATTTGCCCGAACAAAATCACCCAAATGTAGGTAAATATACCATACATGGAGCATATGGGTATTGGGAATGTCATACTCCCATTTGACGAACTCATACTCATATTTTTCAGAGGGCTAGGTCAATGCAGGCAACCACCAAGCAGATTTTTTCATGTTAGTATACAGTATGTTGCTTGTATCCCATAGTTTCTTGATTCAATCCCCACGATATTTGCATTGTGGATGATGGGATTCACCTTGGTTGGTCAACCCTCCATTTTTGATGTGAAAAAAAAACACCTTTTGTAGGTAATCTCCTAGGGAATTCACCAATTCACCAATGTCTATGCTAGTATACCTTACGGTAATCCATACCGCAATAAAACCATGGGTTGTCCATGTCATATGTCTATGTTAGTTTAATTTACTGGAGGGTATAACATCATCCAACTCCTTTCCTCCATGGTTGGAATTACCCTCTAGTAATTAGTTCAATGGTCATTCCAGGATCCTAAAATGGAGGTACTGTACCATTTTTCAGGCCATATTCTGGGGGTATATCCCCTTACTGTACATAGGCCTGAAACATAGGCCTTATATGTTACTTGGAACTGCAGTTCCAGCTACAACTGAGGTTATGGCCATCATCCCATGATCACCCAAACTTCACCTGGAAGGATGACCCCATTCAAGTTCAACATTAGCATAACATCTAATCATACATGAAAACTATAGCTAACAACAAAATCTAACAAAACCCATCAGAAGTACTAGTCTAACAAAAAATCTAACAACAAAATCCTTCAGAAGTCCTAATCTTCCATGGTTTCTACCATGGTTTCTACCATGTTTTCCCATTACCCTCTGGTAAACTAACATAACGAACTGGACAATCACCATCTTTAGTAGGTAAATCAAGTATTTCTATGGCCATTGTTCAATAGCTATGTAACATTTTTTTCAGAGGATAACCATAGTTATAAATTTATATATATCCCATTAATATCCCATTTGTATTCCATCAACATTCCATATTCCAGCAGCAAATTACCAGAGGGTATCCCCATATATTCCCATGGATTTTCACATAAAACCTCCCATAAAACCATATAAAACCTCCATAAATTACCAGAGGGTATCGGCTTTCAACCATCCAAAATTGGTGCTTTATCGGATTTCACAACCATTAAGCCATTAAATCACCATTAAATCACCATTAAATCACCATTCTTCCATGGATCTTCGTTGAGTCAACGGGATTCCTGGTTTGAACCGACCAGGTGGATCCTTTGGTCCAGGGTTTGTCTGAGGGCACCTATCGTGCCTTCGCAGAACTGGTAGGTGCCGTCGCGGGCAACGCTGCTGGGGAGGATGGGATATATGTATATATATATATAATCATAATATATATATATATATATATTATCCTATATATATATGAATATACTCATATGTAAGTTGGATCGAATGTATAGTATATGTTTTTGTATTTTGCATAGTGCAAAAATGTATGTTGAAACATCGTTTCACTGGCAGTTGTAAATTTGTTGTTTGAGGCATCCCCAAGCTTGGATGGGAAGTCTGTAAGTGGAATTGATGTTTTTAACAGCAAAACGACTTACCATTTGGTTATGACTAACATAGCCATGGAAAATCACCATTTTATAGCTAGGTAAACCATCTATAAATGGGTCATTTTCCATGGCTATGTTGAATAACCAGATGGTATTTTTTGTGGACTACCAAAAATGGATCATGAATGGGTGGTCAAGATATATTGCCGCCGTAAGCGCAACGTACCCAGGATGGTTCAATTCCGCCAATTTCTGACAATCGATGGTAAGATAACATTCAACTAGGTCAATCTTAGATGGGTACTTTAATCCCTTAGTCTTTTGATATCAATGGGAATATCTACTAACCAGCAAATAATTTAATTTGTTGCAGGGTATCTAAGATTGGCAATGTCAAGATGGATTACAAATCAGAATGTGTATTCACCACAAAACTGTGATATGTTGGTGTAGATCAGGAAAAACTTTCATTTACTTTTATTTCACTTGATAAAAAAAAAAACACATGCATTAGAATGGCTCTTGGAAACATCAGCGACTGGACCCCGTTTTTGTTTTCCATTTGTGTTGTGACACCTTTCCAGTTTTCACCCGGCTCGGTGTCCCGATGTCTGGGTTTACAGCGGTACAGCGGTACAGGAAACGCCCTCTTTGGCGTGGTTTTGATCCTGAACAGTATCCGGCAGGCGGTGTGAGCTGCGGGTGAAGCTACTCGGGGGGAGTCACCATAGGTTCACTTCCATGATGGCGCCATGGCATAAACAACGGACGAAAAAAGAACACACTATTCGGGGATGGTCATCAATCCATTATATGACAGGGATATATATATATATATATATTATAATTATATATATACCCATTGTAAGGATTTCAATTATGGGATGGATGACCATGAATCATATACCATGTTTTGACCCTAGCACATATTGGTTGTAAACCATTGTAAACCAACTCACTTTTTTTTAGTTTCTACTTATATACCCGTCGGTTTCATAAAAACTGGTGGTATATTCCTATGGTGAATGGTTGATAATGGTTGGGATACGTTGGATTGTCAGCACATGGTCCAGATACCCTCTGGTAGCTTGTTACATAGCTATTGAACAATGGCCATAGAAATAGTTGATTTACATAGTAAAAAATGTGATTTTCCAGTTATGTTAGCTTACCAGTTCATTATGTCTAAACGTGGATGTCATCTACAAAAGTTGGCGACCGGGATGATAGGGTTTTTTCTAGCCCCAAATGGCTGAACTTGTTACCTCTGGTAAACTAACATAGCTATTGAAAATGGCCCATTTATAGTTGATTTACCTATTAAAGATAGTGATTTTCAATAGCTATGTTAGTTTACCAGAGGGTAGTCGGTTAGTGCACTATTTTGATGGATCCAGAATGAACTGCTGGGAAATACTGCTGGGAAGGTGGGAATTGCTGGGAATTTCTGGAAACTTTCACACAAAAATGGATTTAACAACACACTGTAATTTGACTAGGATGATTTGGGGTTTTCTCAGCCTTGGTGGTCAGCGTTCAGTTGACTTATGACATGTTTTTTTCTTTTGTTTTATGGGGGATATGACATGTTTTTTGGGCTTCCAACAAATCATAACATTTCGGGGTCATCTGATAAGATTCGCCATGGTGGACCTGCAAGCTGGGTACCATCCATGGCTGAAACGCTTCCGGTTGAACCGATCGGTCGGTGATCATTCCATGAATGGCGTGACGTGACTTACGTTATCAAAGAGGTTTCTTGGGGCCACTTGCGGCAAGCTGCATGATTCATTGATTGTCTCCCTGTGCCATGATCAAAACATGATGATTTTTTCATATGTTTTCCATCTCACCCCAGTAACAGGGCTTAATAAACCCATGAATTATCCCATTATATTGGAGGTAGCTACCATATATAAGGCCTATGTGTCAGGCCTATGTCAGGGAATAATATGGAATAATATCCCGACAAAATATGGACTTATATTATATGCTACAATAATGTACAGTACCTCCATTTCAGGATCCTGAAATTCCCATTGAACTCTGGAAAATCACCATAAACTTAGTAGGTAAATCATGGTACATCTATAAATGGCCATGTATATCCCAGCTATAAATCGTATATCCCGATGCGATACAACCAACATATACCAACATTACAATCTGGTTGGTGGTTGATCTACCCCTCTTAATAAACCTCAGTATATCCCATTATATCCTCATTATATATATCCCATTAAATCCTCATTAAATCCCATTAAATCCTCATCAAAAATCCCGCTATAAATGGTCTATCCCAATATAAAGAATCCCAAGAAATTACTGCTGGGATGACCATGTCACAACATCGATTTTGGTCGGATGATCCCTTGGCCAAGCATCGATGTTTCGCGTTTTTTTTGTTTGATGAAGAGATTCATATGTTTGGTTAACAGATGAACATGGTTGATATATTTAAATATATATATATATGTTGGTTCATATATTTAAATGATACTAACATGGTTAATATGATACTATGAATACGTTGGTTCATATATTCATATATTCATAAAAACTGGTGGTATATTCCTATGGTGAATGGTTGATAATGGTTGGGATACGTTGGACTGTCAGCACATGGTCCAGATACCCTCTGGTAATTTGTTACATAGCTATTGAACAATGGCCATAGAAATAGTTGATTTTCCCATTAAAAATATATGTACATGTTAAAGAAAACATAACTGGTTGGTGGTTTGGAACCATGGAATTTTATGACTTTCCATTTCATATATATGGGATGTCATCCTTCCCATTGACGAACTCCATCATTTTTCAACATAGTTAAAACCACCAACCAGATATGTTTTGCTTAAGATGTTTGTTTATTAACCACATATGAATCGGTTGGCACTGCACCTGCCATGTAGATACAATCAGCAGTTGTCTCTTCTCATGTACTAATTACATATAGATACTAAGGAACATACATCTATATCTATTATCATCTACTAATCAGCAGACATACCATATACACATGATATTAATCCACATGATATTCATCCACATTATATTAACATCCACATTAGAAACACATGACACACATGATATTATAAATCCATGAGATTCATCCACATGATCGACACACGGTGGGTGCGAAATGATTGAACCACCAAATTTTGGAGGGTTTTTCAAGCCATTCAACCCATAATGGGATAAGTTTACCACCGTTTTCAACCATGATATAATCCATTATATTATATAATCTACATGATATTAACATCCACATAAATAGATGATTAACATCCCATGATTTTGTTTGGGTTTCAACCATCCAAAATTGGTGGTGCAGGATTTCTCACCCATCCATTTATACCATTATGATGATAGCACTTATCTGTATCAGCTAGATCCTCATTATTCTTATCACCATTCTCCAGTCCAGTTTCTGGATTCTGTCATTATCAAGAGTATAGAATCATTATATCATCAGCATTACCATTGATATCCATTATGACAATTGGATTATGTATCCAATCTATAAACAACACACCTTCATAATTGTAGCAATTCACAAAATCATCAGCATCATCCAGAATCCCATCATCTTTCAGATGGATGATTCGTTCCACCAGCTGGGTTGGGCATAGATGGTTTATCCCATTATTTACAGGGTTTATCGGATTTCGCAGCCCATCCAATCCCATCATTTTTTCAGCCATTATATATATATAATATATATATATATATAATCCATTATATTAATCCACATGATATTAAAATCCACATAAATAGATGCTAAACATCCCATTATTTTGTTGGGGGTTCAATACATTATAAAATCTTGCACTACCTTGGATGGTTGAAACCCTAACAAAATCATGGGAAGTTTACCACCGTTTTCAACTGGTGCAGGATTTCGCACCCATCCACAGTAAGCTATTGAAACATATTGAACATGTCCCATGTACATAAATAGATGGTATATTTATCCCATGATTATATTATTTATAGCCTTGAAAAACCATCCCAAATTGGTATAAACCAATCCTTTCATATTTTATAAATAGATGGTTTATCTCATATACAGGATATCAGGATATCTCCAATTATATAATATATCTGATTAATCTATAATTGGAGATGTCTGTACCGATATTATCCATTATAAATAGATGGTTATCCCATTATTGAACGTGTCCCATGTACATAAATAGATGGTTTATCCAATTATACTACTAGTATATTTACCCTCTGGTAATTTAACATAGCTATTGAAAATGGTCACTTATAATTAGGAAGATTTTCCCATTAATAGCATGGTGATTTTTGATAGCTACGTTAAATTACCAGAGGGTATAGCCTTGAAAAACCATCCCAAAAATTGGTATAAACCAATCCTTTCATATTTTATAAATAGATGGTTTATCTCATATACAGGATATCAGGATATCTCCAATTTCAAAACCATCCAAAATTGGTGGTTGATCGGATTTCTTCCACCCATCCACCGCACCGTCGCTGCGCTATGCTGCGCTCGTCAGGTGATTCTGGGCGTCCCAAGGCCCAGGGCCCAGAGTTTTCTGGACGGCATCCTGCAGGGCTTCTTCGGCCTGGCGCGGGGACCTATGGACCTTTAAAGGGACCCAGGGAGGGCCAGGGAAAACCTGGGAAAACCTGGGAAAACCTGGGAAAACCGGTGAAAATTGAAAAAAAAGCTGGTGAAACTTGCTGGAATTTCATGGATTTTTGCCAAAAACCGTCGAAAGATTGGTGAAAACCCATCAGAAATGGTGACAGCCCGTGAAGTTGGACCATTGGAAAAATTGTTTTGTTTTGAAGTTGGGAAAGTCAGAGATGGATGGTTGCTGCTTGGTGGTTTCAAACATGGCTGGATTATGTTCCATTTTCGATTTCAGATATGACAGATATGGAATAATCCTTCTCCATTTCATATATGGGATGTCATCCTTCCCATTGACGAACTCCATCATTTTTCAAGATGGTTATTGCACCACCAACCAGCATAAAATGATCATGATAGATGAAACAATACCAAGTCTGCCATGCAACCTATGTTTTACAAACCGAAATCCGACTGATTAATACGAGGTATGCCTCAATATGGCTATGTAAAGAATTGATAAACCGCTGGGAATTGTGGGTGCCATATTTTTCGACAAACCAATGTCATGGAAATTGGGGGTTACAACAACAATAGAGTCGAACCCCACAGATCAGTTGGTTGATGCTTACTATTCACCCGAAGAAGGCTTTACTTGTTTGATTGTATCAGTTAATTGATGTCAAACAGTTAGCCTCTGGTAAATTAACAGTTGGACCCTGAAAATCACCAATTTTTAGTGGAAACTAATCTTCCAAGCCCTATGAATGCCAGGGTCTATGTGAATTTACTGGAGGGTAATATAAGATTATAAGTTACTATTGTCAATATACTTGTTAATATTATATGTGGTTGATATTTGACATCAGATATAGATATACTTTGACATGCTTTGACTATCAACTTGATCCATACAATGAATGCTGAAAGTGGGTAAGAACGATTTAAATCCTGGCGTTGGGTTGAAGACCGCGTCATGGTACTCAACTAGTAACTAGTGGTGGTCATAGAGCTATGAGTTCTTAATGGCACCACAACCAACCTGTCAGCCATGTATTTCACGTGTCTCATCAACATGTGTAAAGGGTTTCGACTGAATGTTTATAGGCAGTACTGTATATAATATATATATATATATATGCACCTATCATATACGTACCAAATAGAGACATGTTGCTTATTGAACAAACATCATATATATATATGTTCTGTTATGTTATTTGCATATATGAATACAATCTACGATTGTTTATACCGTTTTTTCTTGGAGTGTGGCTTGACATCGTTAAGCACTGTGCTTAGCCCACCGTGCAGCTACCCAGGTGGTTGACACTTTCCTGACGCCCATGCGGCAGCTAGTGCTGCAGACACAGGCGCGGCGCGCGACGCCCGCCGCTGTTTGATGATCATCTCCGGATCCGTCTGATTCCCGTGAAACATGGCTCCGACCTGGTCATCAAACATGGATTGCTGAAGTTTCCAGATGACACTCAGTATCATTATAAAACTAGTATTGTCACTTTAGTTTTATCAGTGGTTATAAAGTAATACTGCATAAAGATGTATAAAAAAAATAATCAAGCATACCCATTGAAATGCCCATTTTGCCCGCCATTCTTGCTGGGCTTTCTTCAAAAACCCTCCGTGATGCGATCAAAAAACATCGGAACAGGCCAACTTCCTCGGGAAGGATAAGGACCGTAACCTAATAACTAGGTCCCATTAGAGGGATTTTAAAGGGGTTTAATGGGACTTAATGGGATTTACTAGATTTATATTGCTACTTAACTGACCAGTTTGATTGGTCAATCTTAGATGGGCAGGAAATAATCCTAACTAGTCTTTTGATATGGGATTATCTGCTTTCACCAGCTAAGAATTTGATTTTGTGCATGGTATCTAAGATTGGCACTGATTAATGTGGGCCCATTGGTGTCAGCTCATTCTGGGGAAATCCACAAAAATCAGAGAATCCAGTCAGCAAATCCTGGTGGTGAAGATCTGAGTGCGGCACTTAAGCCAGAAAAAAGGCTGTACCCTCTGGTAAACATACAAAAAACATCAAAAAACTATTGAAAATGGCCATAGAAATAGTTGATTTACCCATAAAAAATGGTGATTTTCCATAGTTATGTGACAGTTTACCGGAGGGTAAATGTCAGATGTTTTTTTTTTGTCAGATGCAAGGAACCACAGATTTGAATGTCCATTTTTTGTATTAACATGTATTAACCATCCAATTCTTGGGGTACTTTTTTTCACACATCCAGATGATTAGTGTTAAGTACCTCTGTTTATTGATGATTGATTAATTGGTGTTATAGGGGGTTTACTATCTGATAATATCCGACAAATTAAGGTTTGTTACCATCCATTGTGGACAATCCGATTGACCAACTAATATGAATGTTCAAATGGCATTTTACACATTCTTGTCATGGTCGCGACCCACCTAGCAGTATATATTCCTAGTGCTGCTAATAGCACCCCCCAAACTAGAGGAACAATTGCAAACTCCTGGAAATTATGCGGTACACATCATGTGCAACATTCTCGAAAAACAAGTTTGCATAGCTATATTTCTATTACTGCCATTATGAATGATTCTTATGTTTATGACATGATCAGTATCCACATTTCAATAAATAAACATACCTCAAACAAATATGTATGACATTGATAAGTATCCCTATATATATACATATTTCAACACCTGGTTGGTGGTTTGGAACATGTTAATTTTTTCCATCATATATGGGACAATCCTTCCCATTGACGAACTCCATCATTTTTCAAGATGGTTAAAACATGTTAAAACCAGCAACCAGTTAAATACATACCTCAAACCTTAACACAAATGGGTATGGATCAATACCTATTAATACCATTTTTAGGGGGATGAACATCCATTTACCAGCTATTTTGATGTTCACCAGGGGTACAAGGTTTTGACACACTGCCAAATCATGGCCTACTCCCTCAACCAATCTCCTCTCCGGCCCGCGGATCGCGTGCAGATCGCGTATCACGACTGGGGCATCTCTCGGGCCTCGCTGGTCTTCTGTTTGTGCCTACTAAGGCGGACCTGGGAGGGTGAAGATGATGAAGATCTCATTCATTTCATGAAAAGGGTATATATGTATATAATTATATATATTCCCTAGTAATTATCATTGTTTTTTATCCAATTATTCATTAATAACCAATGATTATCATGGTTATCTCCATTATAAACCAATGATGAATTGATTAATGTAGGTAAACACAATAATAGACCATCCCCAATTTCACCATTAATGGTGATTTCATCGGATTAATTTATGGGAGTAATGTCGGTAAAACAATGCCAGAAACCACGGGATTTACCCTCTGGAAAACTCCATAGCTATGCTTAAATTTACTAGAGGGTAATTATAAAAGTTACAGTTACATGTAATTCTATGTGATTACAATCACATAGAATGATTCAATAAAAGCCTAGTAATACCATAGTAATACAGTTCTAATACCCATAAATAACATTAAATAACAACCACTTACCATTACTGTAATTCTATGTGATTGTTACACTATGGTAAGTGGTTGCAGTTTGACATGAGACTACTAAGAAGCTAAACAGAAGAGCATGGAACAGCTTGAGCTTCAGCAGTTTCAGCCCATGTGATTACACGTTATACCCCCCAGTTACTTGTAATTCAGTAGCTCCAGAAAGAAATCACTGGGGTGAACTAACCCACTTCAAGTCATCGGAAACAGCCATCAATCCGCGAGATGGCCAGGGTCTTCTTGGGTCCTTTCCTGGGCCTCTTACACCTTTGCGCCTCCATCTTGGAGGCATCTCCGATCGCACGGACTTCTTTGGGAATTCCGAAAAAAAAATGTTGATCGTATGGGAAGGTTGTGCCATTGTGCAAGATTGATTTTTTGTTTTGGGTGACACTATCTGATAAACCTCGGTTGTGTTTTGAACTGTATATACATGTATATACTATGCTCGTAAGATCTCGTAGGGTTCAGATGGAGAAAAATAGGCCACTTAGGGTTCAGATTCCAAATCCAATCATTCGGGATGTGCATCCCAGAAATGGGAATGTGTAACGGTTACCCTTCATCCAGTTGAACCAATTTATAGCTAGAACGTTCCATCAACAATTAATGATGCCACTAGCAAGCTGTTCACCAAAGAATCTGGCTACAGTGGGAGATAATTGGAATATGCCCAAGTGTTCCCAATTATATCATGTGTATCTGTATATATATATACATACGTAATGTGCTCTAAATTCCTTCAAACGGCCGCAGCCAATGCTCGTTTTACCTCCGTGCTCTGCTTTTTTTGTTCGGGGAGTTCCCAGCCATGTTTGACCAGTTCCGGGTACCGTCATCATGAAATCTATGGTTTAGGGTTGACCATGATCGTCGTCGTCGTCGTCATCATCATCATCATGTTCATTATGTTCTTCATATTTTTCTTCTTCTTTTTCTTCTTCTTCTTCATCTTCATTATGTTCTTCATCTTCGTCATCATTATTATCGAATCTTATCCCTGTGAGTATATTCCGTTTGAAGCCTATTTTTGGTTGACAGCTATCCGCAACATGTACTGACGACTGCTTCATGTTTTGACGATGATTTGATCCATGGTGGTGTCGGTGAAGTTTCCAAATGTTATTTATATATATACATACGGAACCACATATATATCAATATATATATATATATGATATATGTGTATATAATATATGTATATACACATATACCTTCACATATCACATATTGATCAACAAAATATGTCCAATGTAGATATACATAGGTTATCAACCACTTACCAACGGTATGTCCGTCCAACTGCTCCAGGGATTGGCGAACTTGTTGTTGCACGAAGAGGCGATACGGGTTGAACCACAGGAAAATGCAGCATTTATATAGGTTTTTTAGAGGTATTGTGGGATTGATATATTTTAGTATGTATAATGTACATATAACCAATATAGGTATACCGGAACATATGTATTTAACCATCCTCAATAAAAAACCATCACCAATCAATAGTTGAGATGGGCTACATCTGAAAATTGGATAAAATTGGGAATATCCAAATGTATGGCTATCTGATAGGAAACATATGACAAACCATGGAACTTAGGTGTATGCCATTTTCAACAAACCCATATATCCTTTGGTAAGCTAGCATAGCCACCGACAATACAGACAATGACCATGCAAATAAGAAGTAAAATCATCTACAAATTGGTGATTGTCGGTAAAACCATCTTTGGTGAGAAAAGTGTGGGTATAATTGTGATATCATGGGATACAGTGGGGATATTCGCTGAGATCAATAACCAATGAGATCGGTTTGGGAGATGTGCCTCCAATTTCTGGCCATTGACATTGGGAACATCTCCTAATCAGCTGGATTTTGGAGGTGAAATGGTAGAATCTCCGGGAAAAAAAGAGTGAAGTGTCGTTGATATGTGTTTTGGCCATGAATTGGGAATTGTTTGGTACCCAACGTTTGACTGGATTGCCTATAGAGATGGACATATGAATTGGGTAATTATGGATCATGTGTATACCTTGGTATACCGGTATCACGGCAGATTCAAACAACAAAACAGTCCGAAAAGAAAGAACAAACATGAAATGAGGACGATGGTAATGAACATAAGAAATCCCTCCGGTGTGAAATCCCTGATGTATCCTCCGGGAGGTTTTATGGTGAGAAGATAATCCAGAAATTTAGGCGGATGGTCCAGCGTTTCATGCGTCATTTTCCGGGTATAGATGATTTTCTGAGCCATAATGGATTCCCGAAGGGTACTACTTTTAAGGTTTTTGTCATTTTGGGATCCAAAAAGAAGGGGCATCATTCAAGAGACAGGATCATTTTGGTGCCTAGACTTAGGTTTTCGTCGAAGCATAAAAACACCATTCAGTGTATAATTCACATAAGATAAGTGAGGCAGCTTCAGATCATGTCAGCAGTCAGCAGTCAGACTTTGGAGGCGCCATACCGGTGATTTCAGGTGCCACTGTGCCACTCAGCAGAGAGCTCCATTGAGAATTGTTCCAGGTATCATGAGGTGGGTGTGAATATCCCTACATCAATATCTCACTTAAATTAATGAGTGTGTCTTCAAATGTGCCAAAAACCACCATTTTATGGCATTGTTATGTTGGGAAAATAATGATGAACTAGTGGATGGAATGGGATACTCTATTTCCAGACAAAGCTCTATTTAAAGTGAGACGACTATTTACACAAATATATAATTCCTATCAAAAGTGGAAAATCGTCAATTTTTCCCTTCATAAGACGATTTACATCTACCACAACATCCCCAAATACGATTTATATAGCCCATCATCACCCCAAGAGATGAGCGATATTCTATACAGTATCCCAACTTAAAAATGTTGATGTTGTATATGTTGTTATTTTCATCTATAAATCATGATAAATCCCATGAAGTCATCTGCTTGGTGCTTTGGAACATGATTTTTTTGACTTTCCATATAGTGGGAAATCATCCCAACTGACTAATGTTTTTCAGAGGGGTGGGTATACCACCAACCAGTCATCATTTCCATTGCTTAAACACTGATGAACTCCAACATTTTTCGTACGGGTCATCCCCGATCCTGGCCAAAAGGCGCAGTTCGCGCCCTTCGAGCTGCAACGTGCACCGGAACCCGAACCAGCGCGGACCCTGACAGGCACGGGGTGCCCAAAAGTTGGGATAGTAACTGTCAACCAAAATAAAAATAAACTTTGGAATCTGGTGAAATTATGTGAAAATTGCATAGTGGTAAATGATATTGAATGATGGATTCGGTGAATTTTGACGTGAAATTGCAGAATAAAGTCGTGACTAAAAGGCTTTGCATCATTATTTACGCGAGCCTAAATCCATGCGTCTCCTTCATTTTTGCATGTTGTGTTTTGTCAGTTTGGGGTGATACCGTACCTCTGGCCAAAACATGTCAAAACCATATTTGCCAATTTCATAAGTAAGTGCAGTTTGTGTTTACCTATTATACAAATGGCATAATGAATCACTATGGATCACTTCTAGATAAATATTGCTGAAATTGTCAAACCTGGAGCTTATCCATGGTGTTGTTTGAAAGTGGAGGGATGACAAGAGGGTGAACCATAAATTACGAGAAAGATAGGAGACACATGAAAACGACATTCAAATATGTCGCCGTAAAGTCACAGTACTATTGAACACAGAAAACACATTGATATTTTGTTGTTTTGCATATCAACAAAATTGGGGTGCCACGGAAAAAAAAGAAACAACCGTTTCGTTGTGATATTCCCAGTGGAGGCCATTGCTTCACATCCCGAAAGGTGAGTCTCTGACATAACGTCGCAGGAGTGCCATCAGGAGCCAATCCTGCATCACAGGCTGACGGCCCGGGCTTCAATCGGGCCTTGGAGTGTGCGTCATGTGGAATCAAAGATGGCAGTGGTAATAGTAAATTCCATATAAATATAGATATGGGTATGGATCAATACCTATTAATACCATTTTTAGGGGGTTATTCACATCCATAAATCCCAGCTATTTTGATGTGAACTACAGGGGATTCCATGGGTTTTGACACACTGCCATTAACGTTAATGGAAAAACATCATCTGTCAGGGATTTTGGGATGTTCCATTGCCATGCCAGCACTTTTGGTGTTGAACAATCCCTCTATATACCCTCTGGTAAACGAACATAACGAACTGGAAAATCACAATGTTTAATGGGAAAACTCACTATTTCTATGGCCATTTTCAAAAGCTATGTTAGTTTACCAGAGGGTAATGTTAAACACCCCTGGAAATTCCGTGGTGGTTATCCAGTTTCGGAAAGTCCACATGGTCCACATCATTGGGACCATGGGATCTGGTACCATGACCGTGCTTGCAGTTTGTAAGGGTACCACCACCACAATAGTAAAATCTACAATCTATGGTGAAAAAAAGCAGTTGAATCAACGGTTGGCTCTGTAGACTACAGTGGATTGTTTCACAGCCATTTGCTTTGTCTGATAGGGTACACCTCAAAATCCTATAGTTTATCATCATTCAATTATTCCCTATTAAAATCTTTTTTTTTCGTAACAACCTTTGCCAAAGTCGGTATACCCCAGCCACTTCCTACGGCATCGGCGTTCAGGTGGCCGTCCCTTTTCAAAGCACCTCCTACGGCATCGGCGCTTGGGATGTGCCTCAGAGCGGTTAGACCTCTGCGGATTTCGCGTGCAAACCACATCACTTTTTTCACCAAAAATTGGAGTAAATTCAGACAAAAGGGGAGTTGATTATCAAACAAAAATTGGGCAAATATCTATATAATTGGGCAAATTTATGGGGTTCGACGGGTTTGACTCGACCATCAATTCAGGTTTTCTTCACCACCAAACTTGCATTTTAACCCCCACTCACAGACATGAAACACATGGCACAAGAGAGGGATCAGTTGCAATCAATGGGATACATCCAAGTGATTGTTACCACAAGGCAACCACGGGGGTGTTTTAATATGTTGTCATGATATTCCAATTTTGAGCTGTGAATATCTACTTGTACCCCAATGAATAATTGTACCCTTTACTTGCATCCTGATGCTGCTGTTTTCTATTGCTGTATACTTGGCACCACAGTCAATTCAGCAGGGCAAGTGGGTTTAGTCTATTTATTTCTTGTTTGAAAGATGATGATTGGTGAACATTGGTTGATGATTTCTTGTTTTTTCTCTACTTGTTGGCTTAGTAAATGGGTTATAACATGTTATAACCCCAGTTATAAGTAGATAAAGCCTACTTATCCCATTTATAGCTGGGGTATAGTAGGGTTATTATATAACTGTTATAACCCATTTACTAAGTGGGAGCCACCAAGTCGCCAATAAAAAAATGGGATATATCCCCCATGACTTTCATGGATTTCGGTGCCACTTCCTGAGGCACCGGCCACTCCTCCGCCACAGGCGGGGAATGACCATGGCAACTGGGGGCCAGTGAAAAAATGTCTGTTGATTCATAGCATGTTTACACCATTTTAGAAGATTTATACAATTCTTATAGCATTTTAGAAGCTCATGAATGACTCATGAAACGGACAAAAACATGAAAGTCATCCCTTCCCCCCGTTCAACTTTTGCGAGCACTCCCTTCCGAGTCAGCATAGTCAGCACGGTGGATGGAGGGGATGAAATCACAACAGAAATTGATCGTTTTAGGAAGGGACCATCGATTGGGGGATGTTCTTCATATATGAAAAAAAACATAAAAAAATCCAGTGGTTAGGAGGGAGCGATTTGGAGCTATGGATTTTCATATTCCCTATATTAAATCTATTAAATGGGGAGCGAGCTAAGGAGCTACCAAGAGTTTCCCAACCACATATTAGTAGAGGGATTGGATGAATGGCTATATAACTATGATACCCTCTGTTAAACTGTCACATAACGAACTGGAAAATCACAATGTTTCATGGGAAAATTCGCTATTTCTATGGCCATTTTCAAGTTCGCAAACTGTTAGTCATTACCAGAGGCTAATGATCATAAGCCAGCCATTTTTGAGGTGCTTTTTGGTTGGAATCCAATGGTAATTCGTGTTTTTTAGTGGAGAACTACGATAATGATAAGTTGGAACTGTTTACAGTACTTATTTGTGGATAATTAGTAGGTATACATGGAGAATTAGTAGTGGATAAGTTAGTGAATGATTAGTTAATAATGATAAATGGATAATATAATTAGTGGATAACTACAACTGTGTTTGTTTGTTGACCCACTTATGATATATCATGATATATCCACCATCGATTGGTATGTTTTTTTGTTGTTCCTGGAAGAGAGGATTGTTTTTTTCTCAGATGTTTTGCCGCAAACGATCGCCCTATGGATACCCAAAAGAAAGTTATGTATATATATATATTGTACAAAACATAGGCCGATCGTTTGCTTGAAGATAGAATGTTGCTTGAAGATAGAATGCTGTACATATCTATCTTTACATCCTATCAGTAAGATAGAATACTATGGTTAAAATCAGCGACTTCAAGATTGAATGCTTGAAGAATCTTCTGCAGATCCACTTTCGTTGTCGAACTTTCATCGTTTGGCCTACGTCGTTTTGTTCCTTGTGAGACAGACCAAACGATTTGCGTATGTTGGCCCCACAAGCACGCGTATTGGAAAACAAGTTCTTTTATCGTGAACCTCGGATCAATAGCAGTTTACGCAGTTGACAACTATGGCATGGGTACACAGTATAAGGTATGCACTAGTTTTGGATGCCCCCTAATAAACAAATTCAAGTACAGTGTATAGTACATTTTTCATGTACTCCAAAATGTTAGTCCTAAATCAGAAGTTTATCCATTTCAACTGACATACTTGGTTTGGTAAACCGACCAGTTTTGGTCAAACCCACATCATTTTGTTGATTCAAACCTCCGTTTTGCTGTAATAGCTATAGGTCAAACCTAGTATAAATATATATATATATACATATATCATAATATACCATGCTTAGGGGGGGATGGAACATCCATGAATCTCTTTGACGCTGGCTTCTTGCATCACTATCAGTGCGACTTGATCTCGGAGAACATCAGTATCAGACAGGCGTGTAGAAAATCAGCTTGCCTTACCCTCTGGTCAACTAGCATAGCTATGGAAAATCACCACTTTAATAGCTAAATCATCTATAAATGGTCCATTTTCGATAGCCATGTTAGATTACCAGAGGGTACTGCTGACGGAGATGTGATGGGCCAGGCTTGCAATTTCTTCAAGTCTGTTAAGTCCTTGAGTTCCAAGCAGCGGCCGAAAATCGCTGCGAGCTCGTTTCTTCAACTCACATGGAAACACAGCTGATCTGGACGCTGTGTGCTCAATGCCTGTTCTATTTTGGGGCCTGTTTTGACCCATAGCCATAGACATATTGAATTGGACACCTCAAAGATTAATAAAACTTATCCCTACTAATGTTGACGTTTGGAAGGGTAATATGTATAATTATATGTGTATATACATATATATATATACATATCATCCCATTAATAATTATCCCTTTGTACCCTCATTGCTCCATTGATTCAATCCTTCATTATCGGACACCGAAATTGGACATAGTTGGTTTTACATCATGATGTATCTATATCCCTAAGCAAACATTCATATCCCAGTAATAATCCATTTATCCATGTATATCTTCAAAGTCCAATGTTTTTCAAAGGTAAAGTAACACAATCATATTATGGTTGACATTCCCAATGTTACATGGAATACACTGATGTTGTTATAAATCCAAAAAATATAGGTCAACATGTTACCCGTTCTTCCATTAATCCCAGTAGACCAAATTGTATTTCCCACCCATCTAGTAATCACATATTCTTTCCCATAGATCTATATTAATTTCATTTGATTTCTTAATCCATAACAATAACGGGTAAACTATGTATCATTAAATAGTTATGGATTAAGAGATTAATACAATTTTACCATAGTTTTAAATATTGCATTAAATCGGTAAACTACCTTCGTAATGGATTTACCAATTCCCATCGCTTTCCCATCACAAACTGGCCACTTGTGTGTCAGGCTTCAACTGCCTTGTCGCGCATTGCTGGAGGCGTTTGGTTACCGTGGAACACATAGGAAGAACCATGGGATTTATCATGGGATTTATAATGGTATAGTATATTCATGGTATGTTACTTTATACTGGTTGGTGGTTGGGAACATTTTTTTTTCTATCTGGTTGGGAAGAATCATCCCAATATATTGGGAATGTCATCATCCCAACTGACTTTCATATTTTTCAGGGGGTAGGTGAACCTCCAACCAGTATATGACTGGTTAATAATGGTTCTGGGGATTTAATATGATGTACCCTTTGGTTATTTAACATAGCCATAGAAAATCACCATTTTTAATAGGTAAACCAGTAAACCATCTATAAATGGATCATTTTCCATGGCTATGTTAGTCAGAACCAGATGGTAATATTCTATGATAGCTAGAATATCAATCTCTAGGGATCCAATGATCTCCGTAAAAGAAATGGCCATCAAGTCCCGAATTCCGTGGCCTTTACGAACATCCGAACATCGCGGAAGACGGAAGAAATCTCTATTTTTAGTAGGTAAATACCAGTTTTAATGGTGACTAATGGTGATTTAATGGGTTTTAATGTTGTTACATAGCGAACTGGAAAATCAGCATGTTTAATGGGTAAATCAACTATTTATAGATCATTTTTTCAATAGCTATGATGTCAGTTTACTGGAGGGTAGCCATTAGGGCACACTTCCCCAGTGTTCAGCAGGGAGGATATGCGAGGATAAAATACTGAACGAGAACCACTAGATATCGAACTTCCTGAAGACCAGTTTGGTACAGAAAATGAGGTCCCACATTTTTCAGTTCAATTCTTTGATGGACATGGGAAAGCCGTCATGGGTCCTGTGTTAGCTTTGCTGGATAGCCTTGATGCAAGCTTGGCATTCAGTGAAAAGGATGTTAGCTGATGTTTGATATATTTTTGATATATCTTACATTCTGTGTGTTTTGTTTTTACATTAATTTATACATCATTTATATCATTCAATCTGCTTAAACAAATTGGGAAAGCACTGCTGTTGCCCCAAGATCTGGTGATGCTCCAAAGGTCCCAACCTCCTGGAGACATAGGGAAGCGTGGCGTAGTCGTTGCGTATCCCCCAACTGCGAATGTGATGTTTTTTTTGTGGATTCACTGGCCAATAGAACGTTAATGACTATGATAACTATATGGTAGATATGAATCATAATATATTGACATACTTACTATGTTTTTTTTGAACCAACTGGATTATCACTGGCCATTTGAGGAACCCATTCATTGGATGTACCAATCCCATATTTTTATAAGGCCTATGTTTCAAGCCTAAGTTTCGGGGGATATGCCCCCCCAAAAAATGGCCATTGATGGATGAAACTTGGGGATCTACTGGATTACCTGGCTTTGTTGAGTCGGTGATTTGGCGCTTAAATTTTCCCAAAATGGAAAGGGAATCGATATAATATATATATATATATAAAAATATATATATAGTGAATAGTTTTTTTTACTTTTTGGGCACCCCGAATCAGCAAATCCAAGATTACCAGATACCAAAGATTAACTATATCGGGTGGTTTACTTTGAGGATTTGGTGGTTTACTTTTTGGGCACCCCGAATCAACCATCACCTTAAATCCAAGATTACCATACAACAGGATTACAAAATACAACAGCAACCACCAGATGGTTGATCCCATTGATCCCTCGTTTTGAAGGTTCCTGGGATCTCATTGAAACACGACGCGGCCGGAGTCGTCCTTGTTTTCTTTCCATTTGGTGAAGTTACGACCATTTGGTGTAGATGTTTTTTGGTATAACAAAAAAAAAGCTATATAACTTATATAGGTCATAAACTTAATATATGTCATATAGGTCATAACCTTACTTCTGCTAGAAATGGTGGTCGGAATGACATGTTCGATCCCCGTAAGTTCACCTGGAATGATGGCGCTGTCCTCGGAAAGATGGGAGCACCACAACTGAATCTATATATACTGGCCTGCCTTTAAGGCAGGCAAATAGGACATGGTCATATTTTATAATATATACAGTATATATATATATATAATATATATATATATAGTTGTTTTAGTCTCAACATTGGCGCGGTTCATTTTGTTGTGTCCCTCTGAAGTACAATCTAAGAACACATCTAGTGATCTAGTGAAGTCTTGCATCACATATTTTTTGGTGGGTAAATTCCTATTTTAGTTGCTTGATTCATGGAAAATATCATGATCCCATGAATTTTCGATGGGATCATCGTGGGAAAATCCACTGTAAATGGAGGCTTCTACAGGGAAGAAATTCGCAACTCGATGGGTATAAAATCTGTTGGGTAGGCTATAATTGGACAACCAGCCAAACAGCAAAAGATGACATAATTTCTGGGCTACCAAAAATTGTCCATGATAAAATCATCGAACTAAATAGGATAGAACTAGTGAAACCAGTGGCTAAGGATAAATTATTATCAATATACAACTTACTAACTTGAATCAAGGTCATTTTGGAGTTTTTTTTTTCAGTAAGCCATGTTTGATGACACCGAAGAGTAGGTTATTCACCAGCTAGGTTCCTACTGTAAGTTGCTTATGTGTCCCATCATCCCCATAGGTTTCCAAGGCTTAGATGTGCAATACCTCCCAGTTAGGAACAATACCTCCCGCAAAAGGGCTTCCAAGACACCGACAAAAAAAGCACTTAGTAAGTACTTATGTATACTTATGTCACTTCTATAGTGCATACATAACTATTGCCATCCCCAACTGGATGGGTAGATATAACATCTTTTAGTTTTTGGCTATAAATGGAAAATCACCTGCCAACCAGCAAAAGATGACATGTTTTTTATGGACTACCAAAGATTGACCGTGTTACCCTACTGGTCTCCTCCAAGTTGTGGCCTTGGCTAGGTCGCACTCCGCCTGCGAATAGTTTAGGAGCCAAGAGCATGCGCATTACCGAGGCAAGGACCGAATGGTGGGGGATGAACAAAAACACCATTTATACAGGATGGGGCCCATAATTAATTAGCTAAGTTGGTTTATAACATTTTATAACTACAATAACAATAGTGTATGACTATGATACAATAGCAACTATATTAGATGGGGTTATGTTCACCAACTTAACTGATTTTCCCCATCTTTTTTTGGGATTTAACGTTGTGATTTGACCATTTGTTGAACAGTGATTTCATCATATGTCATCATGAAGTAATGAGGCATTCTACGTAAAATTGTGGATTTTTATTGGGAATATCACGGAATATCAATGGGAGATTTCCATGAGATATTCATAATATCAATAAGATATTAATATGATGTAAACCTATACAGGGTGGTGCCCCCCGCACTTATCAGTTGGTGTTTGACAACTTCGACTCCCATTCATTAGTTCGATACATCTACCATGTACAGGGTTGATCCAACCCATTAGAACTAAATTATAGCCACAAGCGGGTTGGGAATGGTTTATTTTACCACTATATTTACCCAACAGAAAGGGACGTTGCTCCAACCTATGGGGGTGTAAATAGATCATTTTACCTCTTTATTTACCCAATTTACCACCTTGTACCTGGGTGTTTGAAGCAACTCTGATCTATAGGGACATGATAGGAATATGATGGAATGTCAATGGGAAACTAATGAGATATTCATATTATTTATGAGATATAAACGGATGTACCTGGCAACAAACACGGCTGTAAAATCCCCGAAATAAATAGAGCCTTCGAACGCTGGGAAAATCATCAAACGAAATGAAGGATTTTGCAGCCATGTTTGACTACCAGAGAGTAAGCCCGCAAGAGGGACTATCCAATACCAAATACAAAATCATTACCCTCTGGTTATGTCAAAATAGCTATTGAAAATGGTGATTTAGTTCGTGGATTTAGCCATTAAAAATGGTGATTTCCAGTTCGTTATGTGACAGTTTACCAGAGGGTACCATTTGTTTTGGGATTCATCACCCTTATATAATAGGTCCACACGTACTGTATGAGGGATCAAATAGTGGCTTCGGACACCTTTCCAAAAAAAGGCGGCATATTCTGTGAATCGATTGCAGGAAATTCCACTCCAGTTCCTGAAATTCAATCTTCTGGGTAAATTATAACGACCTCACTGTTCTCCCGAAGCCTGGAATCATGGTTTTTATAGGGAAATCATCCCCAGCCATGGCCCAACAATTCAGGTTAGTGAAATATTATAAAACCCTATATTTGATGGTAAAAACCCTGGTTTCCGGTTAAGATTTTCCCTTTAACCACTCCATTGAACTCCAGTTCCTGAAATTTAATCTTAGAGAGTTGAGAAAGGTGAGAAATGGTGAAAAGACCTCGAGTTCGAGTCCTGTCCTTTCGAACGACATTGACATTGCCTGAATCCAACCCAACGTTTTCCGGTTTTGAGAGACATGATTTTTTAAGAACATGTATTGGGGATTGAAAAGACTGTTCTGATATCATATCCACATGTCTCAAACTTTGCTGCCTGCTCTCTAGGGATGACTTATCAGCTTTGTGGTAGTCATCAACCAGAAGAGAAAATGTTCAGTGCAGATTAATTTAGCTTTACCCGCACAAAAAAAAAGCAGTGAACGTATGCAGAACAAGCCTGCACATGTAGAGATCATGAGGAAGGATATGCTGGTTGGTGGTTTGGAACATGTTTTATTTTTCCATATATTGGGATAATCATCCCAACTGACGAACCCATATTTTTCAGAGGGGTAGGTATACCACCAACCAGTATGTATACAGACGAAAAGGCTGTTTACTAATTCAATGTGGTTGCAGGTTGCATGTGAACTCCTAACACATGTTCCAATCGACGCTGAATCACCTTTCCATTGTTGATCTGTCAAATCTGGTGAAAAGTCCCGTGTTTGTAGCTGAAGACCAAGCGTATTCAGATGGTAAACACATTGGTTGAGTCGATGAAGAGCGTTTTATGTGTCTGAATTTGGGTAAAACGGGTAAACCCCAAAATCCCAGCGAAAATCCCACATGGCCAAGTGATAAGTCAAGAAAAACACATTTATGGAATGATAACCCCATTTATAATCATGAATATAACTGGTAGTAAATTGCTTTAAATGCATGGTTCATGATCATTTTCCAAAACACAATTGCAAGCTTGGGAGGATAGACCTTTTCAGACAGAATCATAGTCAAAGTCATATATTCAGTTCGTTATGTTCCATTATATTATCCTCTGTTAAATTCACATAGACCCTGAAAATTACTAATTTTTAATGGAAACCAACCTTCAAACCCCTATCTGGCAGGGTCTATGTTAATTTACTGGAGGGTACATCCCTAATTATATATATATATATATATGTATGATGGGTGACCCCCCCGTTTGGTTATATAGTTGGTGAAAAAATGATTATATCATGATATAAATCATCATATCCCATAGACATCCCCATAAAACAAAAAAAAAACAAACATTTCATGTTCTCGGTCATAAATCATGACAATGTCATAGAAATCTGGTTGGTGGTTTGGAACACTTGTTATTTTTCCATATATTGGGAATGTCATCATCCCAACTGACGAACTCATATTTTTCAGAGGGGTAGGCTCAATCACCAACCAGTCATGATCATTATTTTCCACAATATATGGGATAATCCTTCCCATTGACTTTCATATTTTTCAAGATGGTTACCCTCTGGTAATTTAACATAGCTATTGAAAATCACTATTTTCAATGGGAAAATCCACTATAAATGGCCATTTTCAATAGCTATTTTGACATAACCAGAGGGTAAAACCATCAACCAGATATTTATTAACCAGATATTTATGAATACCACCATTAACCATAGAATGTCACGTCAATATTAACCATAGATTAACCATATATTAACCATGAATGTTCCTTTTAAAGATCCCCAAGAGACAGACCCGCCTGGGTGTAAAACCTCACCGCCAGACTTCGTCGTTCGGACCTCAGGAGAGGTGCGTATTGAGTGCAGTATTCTGAGGGAGTGATATAAGGGTTGATGCAATGGTTGATAAATGTATATATATATATATGTCTATGTATATATATATATATCTACATATATATATCTGTAAATCTATCTATTATATATATATACATAAACATTCTGTATCTATCTATATGGTATATCTATAATGGTTGATAATTCATAGGAACCCCTTAAAAAGATGATAGAACGGTTGGAAGCACTCCGTGCTGATTACAATGCGAGCATGGAGGATATGGGTGTGTCAGAAAATGGGGTATAGGGTATAGCCTCCAAATCACAATGTCTTATTGGGATAGTGATGTTTCCATCCATTGGATTTGTTTTTTCTCCCCTTAATTTTCAGACAAAGCCATAAAGCCATATAACAACATAGCTCATGGGTTTATAAACCAACTTATGATGACCGGGGTTACTCCCCTTGTAGTTGTCCAGCTGAGGATTTGCAGGGTTTTTAAACACTAGATATGGGATATGGGGACATAATACAGTTAAATGAGAAATTATGGATGACTTTTTTTTTGTAATACAGCATTCAACATGATTAAACCATCAACAAGGGATGTCTAATTACAAACAATGGAGATATCGTCGAGAATTTCTGATTGGCAGTTTGGAACATTTGTTACTTTTCCATATATTGGGAATGATCATCCGAACTGACTTTCATATTTTTCAGAGGGGTTGAAACCACAAATAACAAGATTTTAGTTGGTTAGTTGTTATTCTGTCCGACCATGGTAACCAGGTTCCCAACCAACCAGCACATGGGGATGACAGATGATGACAGGAGGGTGTGAACATCGATCGAGTATTCCCTTCTGGGGGTTGTTGTTTATCTAATGTCCCCATGTTTGTTGGTAATGTCATATACCATTAATGTCACTGGGGTCAAAAAATGGGTGGTTTCATTATTCAATTTCAAATGGAATCAATAATTTAGAACATCCCCATCAAATCACCAACCAGCCGTGCATGGGAACACTCAGCAATGTTCCCAGTAGTTCGTGGTTAATTTCCCCTGGGTCAATGGGCATGCCTGCTTTTTTTTTTCCAGCAATCTCAGACAATTCTGAACCACATGGGTTAGGCGACTTGAAAACAAACACTTACTGGGTATAGTCATGATACCTTTCTCGATAGTGTTTCTTCAGAAATGGGATTAATTATACCTTCTAGGTATCGATAAACCATAAACCCAGTCAATCCACCAACCATAACCTTAACACCAAGCAGCCCTCCATTCGGGTAGTTCTTGCTTGACCAAACGGTGGACTTCCAGGTAGTCCAAGTTTGATTTCCAGGCGGCAGTCATTTGGAATCATCGCCAACTTTTGATAGGTACCCTCTGGTAAACTGTCACATAACTATGGAAAATCACCATTGTTAATGGGAAAACTCACTATTTCTATGGCCATTTTCAATAGCTATGTTAAATTACCAGAGGGTAGTTTAATGCCTTAGTATGTTTCCATAAATGGAATATCACCTTTTTATCAGCAAAGGACTCTTGTTTTTGAACAAAGATTGACCATGACAACAAATAGAATTGGGGCATCATTCCCATAAGACCGCAGATGGTAAGTGAAGTATGAAATTTATTTTTTCCATATATATATATTACTATATATATATATTATATTATATATATATATTATATTATATATAATATTATATATATATATTATACATGTACATATACATATACATAACCATGATCAGATACATGATCAGATATACCTCAACCCAACCCAACTCGTGTGTATTCCATCAGGGTATGCGTTGAGGTGGTGGAGGAAGCGCTACTCCTTGGGCTCCTTGACCAACATGTTGGCCGACGACGATGCCGTGATGGATAGGCCTCGCGGCCATTCCAAAAAATGGGTGGTTTATGACATTGTTTTACCCCCATGGAACCCCATTTATGGAACCCCCCATATACCCTCGGGTAAACTAACATGGCTATGGAAAATGGACCATAGAAATAGTTGATTTATCTATTAACAGCATGGTGATTTTCCAGTTCGCTATGTAAACGTTTACCAGAGGGTAAATCACCATTAATCACTATTAAATCTCATTAAACGCCATTAAATCACCATTTTTCATCACCATGGTTGGAGGGTACCCCCATTTATGGACAGCCACATTAATATTCCCAGCATCAATTTCAATGGTCCAGCAACTTCACCCGACAGGATGCAGCTACCAGTGCAGTATGCCTTGAACCCTTGAGGCATCGATGTGGGACCGAGGCTACCACGACCTACTACAGGATGGGGCCCCCCAAATTCCCATTGATGGTGCTACAGTTCCACTAAAAAAAAGATGAATCAGTACAGGATGGGGAAAGCCAGTGATGTTTGTTGGTTTAGTTTAAAACCCCATCTAAATATAGTTATTTGCGTATCATACACTATTCTTATTATAGTTATTTGCACCAACTTAGCTAGCTATAGGGTGACAAATAAAGATGGCCCTTTCAATTGCATTAGCTAACTAATTATGGGCCCCATCCTGTATGACAAATAGAGATTTCCCTTTGGAAACAATGGCATTTTAGGGGAAAGTGGACATAGTTGATGAGGATAGAGTGGGATACAATGGGCACTTCGTGATGTGGACATCTATACTTAAAAGATGTTTGGTTTACCCTTCCGTAATCAAACATAGCAATTGGAAATCCCTCCATTTATAGATGATGATCCCATCGTTTGCTCTATTTTACCCTTTGGTAAACTAACATAGCTATTGAAAATCACCATTTAAATAGGTAAAACGGTAAACCATCTATAAATGGTCCATTTTCAATAGCTATGTAACAAATTACCAGAGGCTACTTCGAGGATTTTCCAGCCAGCCACGTTTGAAACTCACAGCTCAGGTCGTTAATGGCCAGGTCCCCCAGAGATTTTTAGGTCTAGGGAGCTACTGCGGATGGGCAAATCCGATAAACCAGCAATTTTGGATGGTTGAAACCCTACAAACAAGGAGATAAACGGGATAAAGCACCTATCAACAGATAAAGCCTATGAATCATGACCTATCATAAATCATGGGATAAAACCATCTATCAACTGGCTTTTAGGATTTCTTCCATGAACAGTATGAGAAGAAAAGCGTATTCTCATGTATTCTCAATGGCTTACCCTCTGGTAAACTGTCACATAACGAACTGGAAAATCACCATTTTTAATTGGTAAATCCACTATAAATCAGAATTTTCAATAGCTTTTTGTATGTTTACCAGAGGGTATCAGAGACAGGATTCAACCCTCAGCGGTCCCGATAACAAGAGCGTTACGGGCTCTTAGGACCACCGGCAACCACTACCCTCTGGCAATTTAACATAGCTATTGAAAATGGCCATAGAAATAGTGAGTTTTCCCATGAAAAAATGTGATGTTCCAATATTTTCCATAGTTAAATGACAGTTTACCAGAGGGTACGTTTGGGGCATATGAATGTCGCATGAGGAGAAATAGCGGTGAAGACATTGCCAACCAACTGGATGGGTAGTTGTGCTACTGCTACAGCATGATTTGCCTTGGAGGATCAAAAATCCTTTTCTCATCAAAGATTGAAATGATAATTCATGATTTTGTGATAGGATGATAATCATCCACAAATCTCGGTAAATTATGTTGCGACCTCACTGTTCTCCCGAAGCCTGGAATGATGGTTAGGATCAGGGTAACTATCCCAAAAGACCTTAATTCATCTTAATTCAGGTTAGTGAAATATCATTAAATTATTTACCTAGACAAATGCGGCTGGAACTAAACCTGCCATGAAACTTGCACCACAGCTATATGTATGTATGTATATATATATATATACATACAATGGATTGGTTTAAGGGAAATTTTACAGGAAAACCCCATATTTAATCGGAACATGTAGTGTTTCCTGTAGATTTTCCCTTAAACCAATCCATTGATATATATATATATATGTCATAAATTTTGGAAAATTCCATGCATAGAAAAAGAGTATACCAGACTTAAAATCCCATCGGTATGCTGGAAAATCATCAGGTGATGCTTGTTCATTATCATATGTTCTGTTTCTATCCAGTGGTTAGGAGGGAGCTAAGGAGCTATGGGTATTCGTGTTCCCTATTAAATCAGGAGCTAAGGAGCTACCAAGAGTTTCCCAACCACATATTAGGTTTGTATTCTCTTTATAACTTAATTATCTCCACATTGCATCATGAATCTTGGTAAATTATGTTGCCACCTCACTGTTCTCCCGAAGCCTGGAATACTCGTTTGGATTAGGGGAATCATTCCCGAATGGCCGGATGAATATACATATTATCTGGTTGGTGGTTTGGAACATTTGTTATTTTTCCATAGATTGGGAATGTCATCATCCCAACTGACTTTCGCATATTTTTCAGAGGGGTGGCTATACCACCAACCAGTATATATATACATGATTTGCTTTGCTGTTCAAGATGAGTTAGACATGTTTCATTTTATGTTTAGGACTAGTATGAATCTCATTAAAACCACCATAAATCCCATTAAAACTAGTGGCTCAACAAATTCCTTTTCTTGATCATTTGGTCAACAAATTCGCAGGAGTCTCCCCCACAGGAGCCCAGCAGACTCGGGGGAGCCAGCTCTGAACGGGTCGTGTGTCCGTTCGGAACGTGAACCATGTTGTAACATGTTGTAAATGGGTATATCCATGGACGTAAGTTGGTAACCCCCAGAAGAATTATGGCCACATAATATACAGGATGGGGCCCTACAGGTAGCTAAGTTGGTTTATATTTGTAATAAGAATAGTGTATGATACGCAAATAACTATATTTAGATGGGGTTATGTTCACCAACAAACATAACTGGTTTTCCCCATCCCATCCTGTACTGATTCATCTTATTAAGTGGAACTGTAGCACCATCAATGGGAATTTCAGGATCCTAAAATGGAGGTACTGTACCATATAAGACCATATTTTGTGGGATATTCCCTTACATAGGCCTGAAACATAGGCCTCATATATGGTAGGTACCTCCAATCAATCGGTTCCTGTTGCATGGCCATTGACACCACCAAGGATTTTGTTCCAAGGTCTTGGGTTGGAAACGACGAAGACTGATGAAGATTATTCGGGGTTAACATCCCTATGTTGATCCATTTTGCATCTATCCTTTATTTAAACTAATACAACTATACACTTAAATCACCATTTATCTGGTTGGTGGTTTGGGACATGAATTTTATGACTTTCCATATATTGGGAATAATCATCCCAACTGACCAGAGGGGTAGGTCAACCACCAACCACTTATTGTGCAGTTCGCTATGTTGGCTATTTTAGTGTTCACCCTGGGTCTCCAGGCTTTCCCATGCTTATGTTGATATGTCCCAGGCTGCTGTGGTCTGATTGTTTATGTAGCTACACATGTGTTTATGCTTATTTGTCTATGCATATATATATATATATAAGTAACTACATTTCATTTGTTTATGTTTGTGTAAATATATATATATATACAGTAATGATTATTGTTAATGTTTTATATTGTATTGCACCCCAGTTTGTGGATCTTCGTCACATGTCCATATCTTGGTTGCAGCGTTCTGCGTTCGACGGGGCATTTTTAGCGTGGCAAGCGACTTCGAAATCAAATCGTTTTGAGGCTGGGCGTGTCCCGGCAGACATCAGGGATGAAGCCAACGAACGCAACATCCGGAGTCCCAACGTTGGAAATCTCATGTTTTAGATGACCAGAGGGTAGCCATTGGTGAACAGTTTGCGAACTTGAAAATGGTCATAGAAATAGTTGATCTACCTACTAGTATGAAAAATGGTGGATCTTTCCAGTTCGTTATGTGACAGTTTACCAGAGGGTAGTGAGGGATATTTGTAGGAAAACCATATGAATTGATGGTTTGCCGCCTGGATTTACCTGGTATTTACTGGGTCCCCTGGTTGACATTTTTTAGGGGATACCCTCTGGATGGTAGTGATGTCATTTGGTCACCATTTATCTGCTTGGTGGTTTGGAACATGACTGGATTATGACTTTCCTCATATACATATATATATACATATATATATATATATATATTGGGAATGTCATCATCCCAACTCCCAACTAACGAACCATACTATTTTTTTCAGAGGGGTAGGCTCAACCACCAACCAGGACCACATGAGTTGTCCGCGACTTCTTGGTGCCAATAACTCCAATTTCACTCACGATGGTAACTATGGTAGATACCCGGCTGGTAAACGTTTACGCAGCGAACTGGAAAATCACCATTATTAAAGGGTAAATCCACTGTATATGAATGGCAATTTTCAATGGTTTATGTTAGATATTTAGATATATCTATACTTACTATAGTTCTAAACCAACAAACATCACTCTATAGTTATAAACCAACAAACATTACATCACTGGGGGGGCCACAACCTTGTACTGTGTCCATCATTTGGGTGATGAATAATCATCCCTAGGATGATACAACTTGGTAAGCCAAGGTTGAGAAGGTTAGCGGATTCTCTGTTTGTTTATATAAATGGAGGACTATGTATATATGTATATATATACACACATACATAAGCAGCTGAAAATTGAGTTGTTTGAAGGGTATCTATCTAAGATTAGCCATGTTAGAGAAAGGTTTACTTTGATCAGAAATATGTTCAAGAATCCGCAACCCACTGGGTCTCCCTTAGCAAGATTTTTTTTCGAGCCAAACAATAGATTGCAAGGTTCCGAATTTGGGATGTACTGACGTCTTGTTGTTGCTTCAATGGGATGTAACCAAGTGCCTTTTGATCCATGGGTCGTCCGCTCAGATAGACCCAAAAGTTCGCTGGATGTGGGTATACGCATGGTTGGGTGTTTCTACAACGTACATTCGTAAGCAAATACATCTAATTATCCAATTAATTACATAAATGTAGACATAGATAGGCAGACAGACAGACAGACAGATAGATTATATTGTATATACATATGTAATATGTACACATTTTCTGGAGTCAAAGGCCTTCATGTTCTTAAATGACTTAGATGTCCCCTGTTCATCCTTTTTAAGCGCACGTCACATTGGTTCACTTGGCCATTCCTGATGTACAATTCAGAGAACCTGAGCAACACTGCGCGGTTGGAGTTCAGTTTCTGTTTCACCTGCCGCTGTGAAACAACATGCGGGAAGAAAACATGACGTAGTGTACAGTTTCGCCAGCTTGTGCCTTACAAATGGGCAGATATGGGTCAAAAACTACAGCAGTGCTAGTCTTGCTTTTTTGGTGGGATATGAATTCCCATATTGGATTAGTCTATAATGCCCATGAAGCAGTTTAGAAGAACCCCATATAAGCAACATCCTGCAGGCATTTCTCAGAAGAGTTGATATTTGTTTACAGTTTGTGGGATAACTCGGATAAACGCGATGTGCAGAAAGGGAATCTTTTTGACCCACAGCCAGATGGCCATGAGAATATCACTTGTACAGGTCATTGTTGTGCACGGAAGTTGTTGAGTTAATTGTGACCAATGAGAACTGGGATGATGCATCGAGTTGTCGAAAGAATCCGAAAGAACATCAAATGATCACTGTTGCTTTATATCTGGATATTCCTTGTATGGAACATGTTTCATTCTTTGCTTCTTAAAATTCACTTAGACAGACTACTTGAGGGTGCGTGCCACTTAGTAAATGGGTTATACTCCCAGCTATATATATATGGAATATTCATGGAATATTCCCACATATAGATGGGATTATGTGTATCATGTATATTTATATATGTGGATTATAAGCCACTTACTAAGTGGGACCCTCACATCCAGCCATAGATTATCCCTGCCGTTTTTCTGCCTAGTTGTAGACACCATCAGAGAGAGCCATTGAACGAAGGAGCTTCTGAACCCCAAAAAGTGCAGCGCATCACAGTTACATGCAGCGTGAAAGGGAAAGGCATGAAACACAGGTGTCTTATTGTCCAAGTCAAAGGAAAAACATATAACATCATAATATAACACATGTTTAGTTGTTCTGAGGAAAGAAGAGGGGGGAAAGAAGCAAGGAATTTTCACAACGGAGGAAACAAAGGAAAGAAGAGAGCTTTGCGGAGGAGATCATCGGGCATGTTTTGTTGGCTTGCAGGCTGCTTCTTGTTTTATGGAAAAACATACAATTTTGAAATCCACAAGACTTTTTCTTTGACAATTTGCAGATGCTTCATAAAGAAGTCCACATGAGCTGTCGGTTGATTGTTATTTGAGGTCAGGTTATTTGGTTGAACCATAATCACAGCAATCCTGTATGCTAGTTTATGAATCAAAAAACAACCGCTTGCAGCACTTGAATGGATTTCCCGCGCATAAAGTTTCTGGTCATAGTTTCCATGGTGATTTCCGACGTGTTTTGAACGCATATTCGAACGACCGTGGCCTTTTTGGTTCAGAGTTTTTTTGTTGGCATCTCAAATTCGAACTGCTTGAATCCAAGCGGTTTTTCGAGGCATTTGGGCGGAAGTATGATTTTTTTAACAGTATTTTGGCATATTTTGACCACATAAATTAAAACACATGCCCAAAATATGGTTGTGCAGTTGTACCAGCAATTAGATCAACCAGATTGGGTTTTAGTTAAAAAAAAAAATGGACACATTTTGAGCCCCATCTCGAGACGGTGGGCACTTTTGGGTGTGGAAAACTTACGAAAACTCCCCTGGGAAATCGGAAGTTGTCTAATAATGTTAGTAAATCAGTGCCATAAACCACCCTAATATTTAGATGGTTTATATATATATATATATATTATAGCATTCACTTATGGTAACTTTGGGGGTAGTGGTTCCATGTGGTTCCTATTGTTTTACTAACATGAAATTCTGGTGTGTCCATGTCTTTGTTGATTAGAAAGAAGTTAATAATTATGACGACCTCACCGTATCAGTGTCACTTTCGGCGTAGAATCATCCCCAGTGGCATGGATTTTTGGATCAGCTGTGTGAATTTCCGGCAGTAAAAACAGATGTATCCCGTGTAAATTGGGTTCTGCAAGTTATGTTCCCATAAAAGTGATTAGTCATCAATCCTTTGCGATTTATACAAGGTTTTTGGATTTCCATGATGGAATGCTAACTGGAATTCCCCATCAGCAAATCTCGAGTGTTCAAACCCCCTGTTGGATGATTATAGAGGATTATACTATCCAAGATAGTGGGGATTATGGTCTAATGATATCTAATGATAGGGGATTATTGACCACACTGCTCATGTCGTTGTATCATGACGACCAGCTCATGGAAAACATGCTGTCGCTGGTTCATGTTCAATCCCAAGATTCGGGTGTAAAGCGTTCAAAGCTTTCAGCTGCCCAGGATAGCCATGTCTAGATCTCCAACAGAAAAATCATGCTTGTCTTCTGGGCAGCATGTTTGTCAAGGCTATTCTGTATCTCAATACCCAGTGGAAGATTGAAGAATGTTTATAAACCATAGTAAGTATGTCAGTATATCTACGAAAAACATAGAATTGGATGATGGGAAAATTTACAGGAAACCCCTATATTTGATGGTAAAAACCATGGTTTCCTGTTAAGATTTTCCCCAACAAACCAATCCATTGAGAAAAACCATCGTGAGTTCTTGGAGTTATTGGCACCAACTTGTCGCGATGAATCGCTCACTGGGGCACCATCGTAAGCCTGTCTAGATCTCTTCGAAAAATCATGTTTATCGCAATGGGCTGACCCCAATAATACACCTCCCGAAAAATTGGAGGATTGATTTTCACATTTTTCACCATTTATCATGTCACCACTAAAACTGGTTGGTGCTTTGGAACCATGGATTTTTTTTAAATAGTATTATTGGGGTTTTAGTAATACAGTATATAGTATATCCCAACATATACTATAATCCCAATCTATACTAATATTATTACTGGTTGGTGTTTTGGAACATTTGGATTATTTTTCCATATATTGGGAATAATGATCCCAACTGACTGACGAAATAATATTTTTCAGAGGGGTAGGTCAACCACCTACCAGAAAATTGGGAATGATTTTTTCGCGTTGGGTTTACCACATTGTTGGCTGTTGGCAAAGATCTTGGCCCAATTGATGCTGTTCTAACCGTGTGTTTCTCAAATCAACGATATTTCCACTACCTTTTGGCAAAGTCCCTTTCTCAGTCACATCGCAGTTGACATTCATTACCAACATGTTGTAGTGAAGGAAGATACCCTCTGGTAATTTAACATAGCTATGGAAAATCACCATTTTTAATGGGAAAACTCACTATAAATGGCAATTTTCAATAGCTATGTTAAATTACCAGAGGGTATGTTTTGTTTCCTTTCCCTTTGAATCTTCATCCATAGCTCACAGAATTGGTTCGGAAACCGCTGCTACCTTAGGGCGAAAGACCAAGGCTTTCCCGAACAGTTTGCTATTAAAAATGACCATAGAAATTGTCGATTTAGCCATTAAACATGGTGATTTTCCAGTTCGCAAACTGTAACAATTTACCAGAGGGTAGTAAAAATGGTGATTTTCCATATGGGGGTTTCCTGAAAATGGGGCTACCCAAGCTCGCTGGATGGTTTATAAGGGAAAATCCCAATCTAAAATGGATGATTTGGGGGTACCCCTATTTTAGGACACCCCCATATTATCACCATAGATTTCTCATGATACATGATTATTCCATTGACTTTGATGCCTATTAGTCATGTATCCTTTGTAATATCACATAAAGGATACATCACTAATATAACAGTCATTATTGTAATTTGATGACTTGAATACATGATAATCCATATATGATCCATTTATAAGTGGTTGGTGGTTTGGAACATTTGGATTATTTTTCCATATATTGGGAATGTCATCATCCCAACTGACGAAGTCCATCATTTTTCAGAGGGGTAGGTCAACCACCAACCAGTAGTGATCATTATTAATTAAACATGATTAACCACTATTAACCATTATTAACCATTTCTAATGAAACCACCAACCAGTAATGATCATTATATCCCCATATAAAGCGCCGTCAGTTTCACCTGTAATCCCCATGACTTTCCAGGCCGTCGCGAAATGGTACGCGAAATCTCTACGCTGCCCCATGCTGTGATTTTATGGGTATAGAATGGTATGTGTATATATCTTAGATAAAGGTGATGCATATATATATAATATTGATTGATTTAATGTTTGGTTTTTAGTGAATATATATATATATATATACATACTGTAGATGCAGTATATATATAGTTTGACATAGCGGGTCATATCGTGGGAAATGTAGACAGATAACCAGCAATCATGGACTATACCCTCTGGTAAACATACAAAAAGCTATTGAAAATGGCAATTTATAGTTGATTTACCAGGTAAAAATAGTGATTTTCCATAGTTATCTTAGTTTACCAGAGGGTAATTTTAACAGAATTATTGGGAATCAAACATGTCGATTCAAAGCTGTTTGGTGGTTTGGAACATGTTTTATTTTTCCATATATTGGGAATAATCATCCCAACTGACGAAATCATATTTTTCAGAGGGGTAGGTATACCACCAACGAGCACTTTTCCATAGTGTTCCCATTATTTGATGGCCACAAATGGTGTTATCCCCTATTTTCAGAGACACAAAAGTGAATGGTGGCGTTTTACAAGGCGAATGGTGGCGTTTTTGAGCCAAGAATGGAGGATGAACCCCTTCCCCCTAGGAAATACCACAGGGGACCCCAAAAATCAATACTGTAGATCCAATACTAAACCCAGGTTTTTAGGGTGGCATTCAGTGGGAATTGGTTGTTTTAATATGTTATATGATATAATGATAGATTGGTATAGTCATAGTGATATAGTGTGAATAGGCCCAAGTTTATCTGATATATCCAATAATAAGCCCAACTTTATAGGATATATAAATATAAATATATGATATAGATGGATATAGTGTGAATATGGTGCACCATTGATTTCTTGAATAGTCCAAATCAAATACAATGGAGTTCCTGCACATCCCGGCCTTGCCTCGCCTTGGTTCCGCACTGGAGTGGCAAGTCAGGTCCACGTGGGATGTGGAGCTTTGTGGCTAGACATCAGTGACATCAGTAGATCGGAAACTGAAGAACTGGGATCTTTGGTAAAAGACCATTTCTGAAAAAGAGAATCCATCATCACAGGTACCTGAAGGGCGATGAAATGTGCTTCATGACAAAGGATTCGCATGGATTTGCTTGATTTCAACGGGCCAGCTGCAAAATAAGATTTGATGCAACCTAGGGTGCATTTCGATCATCAGCTAATCATACATCATCTTTGTTTGGCATCATGCCATATCATTCATTTGGCCAACAAATTGCCGGATATCACAGTGTAGTTTTTCTCCTTTTTGTTTGTCTATCAAAGGAAGGTGTTCCAATTGAATCTACCTTTTCCACTTCTACTAGCCGCCTCTAGCAAAGCAGCTGAAGCACAGAATATCGACCCATCTTCCAAAAACTTCCGGCCCCATGTCGCGATTGATTTCACAGGTGCGCACATTGGGGAACTTTGTTTGAACGGGTCCACCTTTATGCCTGTCCAAGTCGTCCGAGAGGCGAACTGATGTTGAAATATTGATAGGAGAGTATGCTACCCTGTTATATTGTGTTTTGGGATCCACCATGAAAACACACCATTTACATTAATATATAATATATTATATATATAATTATATATATATATATATGTGTATGTATATTTAATTTGCAAGATACCATAGTTCCGAAAAGCAGATGAAACTGGTGATTTGACAGGTAAAACGTGGGATTCTGCCAGTGGAAGGATGGTTCAGACTGGGGAAGTCCCAAATCCAGCAGCATTCGCCAAACTGATGGTGTCGTCCTTAACGGGCCAGCAGCCGAAGTGTCAATGTTTTGAGGCTCTGTTCACCACCCACGGCCAATTTTTTAAGGCCTTGTGAAAACCCATTCTTTCATGGGTGAGTTGGTGAAATCCCCATAGATCTTCAGTTTGGTTTGTCCCCTATTTCTTTGGGGATCATTACGTCTTCCCATCGCCGTTTTGATGGGACAGACAATGACAAAGCAAGCATGTTGAAGGGAAGTAATTCCAATGGTGTATCATCATCCTGGCTTTCTTTGGTGATTGTTTATATGTTCCCAATGGGAAAAATCCACTGGCAATGGGTAATCAATGAAGGGAATATATGTGAAGTCTGGGCTCCTTAAGCAAATCCAAATCATTTTTTCATTGAACAGCCCAAACATAACATTGATAAATAAATAAATATATATAAACCATTTTAACCTGTATTAGACTGGATCCTTAAACATATATATATATACATGTATTCAATACATATATTCAATACCACACATTTTTTGGTATCCCCCATGTTTTAGACGCCGACGATGATCCTCATTGATCCTCATCCTCAGATTTTGCTGGTCACGGTGGCCGGCGCTCCAAAGGAGGCGGCTGGTCTAACTGGTTGGTGCTTCCTTTTCCAGGAAAACATGTGGTAAACAGTTTTGTTTAATAAGAAATGATGGTTTAATAACTTAGTTCCAACTAAAAAATGTTGTAAACATGAGACACATGAACACATATTCATCAAGCATCAAACACATGAATTCTAAACCATGGAAAGTTGGGGACAACTCCATGGCCTCCTTGGATTTCACAGGTGAAAGCTATGTCAAGGGAGCTACAACTTGTGGCTTATCACCGAAACACATGATTAGTATCTGGTTGGTGGTTTGGAACATTAATTTTATTTTTCCATATATTTGGAATGTCATCATCATTTTTCAGAGAGGTAGGCTCAACCACCAACCAAGTATATAAATGGCCTTGTAAAGCTAATATCTATGAAAAAAAACATGATCATAAACCGAAATCATAGCTTTTGGAGTTACCAACTTAGCCATCGTTAAATTTGGGCCGCAGGACCGTAGGAGCCCAACTAAGGACCAACTAATAGATGTCAGCCATGTCCAGTCAAGCAGCTAGTCTGGTTCGGGGTTTCAAATGTTGATTGCTTTTCAACATTAAGGGATGATTGGTTGAGATTACTGTCAAAAATCTGACTGGGATGGTTAAAAAACACCCAGCAATCCAATGTTCTGTGATATCTGGGTCAACATTTCTGGTTGGTGGTTTGGAACATTTTTTATATGTTTCTATATATTGGGAATGTCATCATCCCAACTGACGAAGTCCATCATTTTTCAGAGGGGTAGGTATACCACCAACCAAATTTCTATTGATTTGTAACATAGCTATTGAAAATGGCCATTTATAGTTGATTTACCCATCAAACATGGTGATTTTCCAGTTCGCTATGTGACAGTTTACCAGAGGGTATATCACCATTAATCACCATTCAATCTCATTAAAACCCATTAAATCACCATTAGATATCTGGGACGATCCCGACGGAAGCGCCGCCCTTATGATGATCCCGTTACGCGCCGATGATTTAAAAAACGGCCGGTTTTAAGCCCTCTGGTTTCCTGGGCCGGAAAATTCTCTACTTACCATATAATAACCATTCATATTAACCATATTATCAATAGTATATTACCAACCAATGGTAGGTTATTGCACCACCAACCAGAATTGATTCTGCCCTCTGGTTATGACTGTTACATAGCCATGGAAGCCATGGCCCATAGAAATAGATGGTTTACCGTTCGCTATAAAATGGTGGATCTTTCCAGTTTGCTATGTAACAAATAACCAGATGGTAGATATATTATGATCTTATGATATATTATTGACAATGATATTAGAATGGTTGATTTTTCATATCGAACTCTTAGTTTATCTTAAAGATCTTTGGTACTTTTTTTTCCAGCTCCTTAGTTGGTTCTAGAAGTTCTTGTCCCATTACGTCCTCTGATAATTCCCACATGGATCTGGATTTAGAAAAAGTGACGGCGTGACAATTCCCCCTGGAATGATGGGCATTGGATCATTGGATCCGGGCAATACTCCCAGTCTAGCTGAACTCTAGTATAGGTTATTGACTTATCATTCATTTAAACTAACTATGACATGGATGACAAGTATCTAGTATAGGTCACTAACCTAATTAGGTTAGGATGGTTAGTAGTTAGGATGATGAAATTAAACTATGACATGGATATTTGAAATATAACCTCATAATTCCAGTTTTTTGGTTAGTGACCTTATCATGTCATAAAAATAATATTTGATTCATATATGGCTAGTTGATGCATGCTTTTCCAGCTGGCAGCTTCATTTACCTCCAGGCTGCCCATCTCCTCGCAGGTAGTGCCCCGAACCGAGTTGTCTCATCCGTGTCATCGCAGCATCTCGCGACAAGTTCGAAAGCAGCCTGGAGCCCCGGTCCGGAAACGAAGGGTAAGGGGAATCTTTGAGGAATCTCTCAAAGGGGTTTAAAAAACATGTTGTTTATTGGGATCTATAGTGATCTATATGATTATATCATGTTGGATCTATATATAATCAACTTGAAATCGGTAATATGTGTTTGGAGAAAACAACATTTAGATGATCATTTTATTGGATATATCCCGGATAGAAACTGAATGGATCTAAGTTGGATCATCACTTAAAATTGTCACTGCAGATCTTTCACCCTGACTCTTACATTCTGAAGAGATGGTGATTTCTTCTGGAGGTGTCTAAGTTTCAGGAGCGCAATGAAGCCGCACCAAAAAGGCCTACGAGTGTCAGCTTCGCCCAAAACTGAGCATACCACCGTGTCCATCATTGAATTTGCACCAGGTTTCCACCACAATGTCAATTTACTGCGGCTGTTAATGGTCTATTTGATTTTATGTTCCCATCCAGAACACTTGGAATAATGTTCAAATTGGTATGCTATTTCTCATTGGAACTCGGGGTTTTAAACTGCTTCAAGCTGTTTTTAATCAGATTTTGAAGGACTCTGCGATTCAATTCATCCAACAGTCCATCATCAAATGTGAATGATGTAATTTGACAGCTGCTTCGTATACCCATGGTCAGTTGACAATTCTCATTATCCATTCATTTGTCCCTCATTATCCCATTTTTGTTGCGTAAATCCCCAGTTCTTATGGGAATTTAAGTGTCGAAAATCACCACAGAAAGTCCCCCTAGCTATGTCAAACCATCCAGCTAGCGATATATCCAGCATAAAAATCCTGAGCCGGATTAGTTCGAGCAACTTACCTATCGTGATAGGGTATGTCCCAGGCATCGTAAGTTTTAAAAAAATAGTGTAACGACATTTTTTAGTATAACCCATATATGACTTATGCCTTGCATATGGCTTATATATGGCACATATGTGGCTAATATATATATATATATAATTATATAATATATATATAGGTATATATATATAGGTATATAATATATATATAGGTATATATATACAATTATTATACATATATATATATTATATTGCATACATAGAGTGTATATAATATATTATATCATAATATATATATATATAATTATATAATATTATATATGATATATATATATTATAATATTCTAGCTTATAGATTATATAATATATATATATTATTATATATTCTATATTCTCTATTCTATATTCTATATTGTACATTAGATATTATATATTATACATTATATTTTACATTATATTATATATTATGTATTATACATTAAATACATATATATATATATATTTATTTATTTATCATATTATCCGTTCCGCAGGGTCGAGAAGGAGATCTTGAAGCCTGCGGAACGCGCAGGCGGGCGCGGCTGACGATGGTAATGGAGCCTGGCAACACACCAACCACCAATGGTTGATGATGGCTAATAATTTTGGTTTGTACAGTTGTAATGGTTAATAATTGTTAACAATGGTTGATAATGATGAATTTTAGTATGGTTAATACTAGTTAATGATTATGAATTATAAACTATTGGATATTCAGCAATATCAATCGAAATGGATATGTTAATATATATATATATGATATGCGGTACATATGGATAGTCATATAGATTTAGATTTATGGTAGATCAAAAATTGATAATTTGATTATTAATAGCTTTATATAATGGCTAGTAATGGTTAATCATGGTTTATAATTGGCAATAATGCTTAATAATCTGTGATATTGGCTAATCATGGTTATTAACTGTTATCATTGGTCATTAATGGTTCATAGTAAAGTTAACAGTTAATCATGGTTTGAGGGATTTGATACATTATATAATAGCCACAATATCTGGATGAATTATAATGAGACTACGTCGCGACATCACTGGAATGATGCGTTAGGTGAAGTTTTTGTCAGCACTGGTGGTTCAAAACTGCAAACAAACCTCAGATCTCCCACGCAAAAACGCGGGTTTTCCCTCAAAGTCCACAACAAGTCGATCTGACACAGCACTGTGGTAGGCTGTCTTCCTAAACGATCCTAAACGCCTAGCCACCTGCAGTATACGATGGCCCTCCTGGGAAACATGGACAAAGACTGGGATCCTTTGTGGTTTCACAATATGTACTGTATATAATATATATAAATATATACATACAATATATATATATACAATATATGTATATTGTATACAATATAATATATATACAATATATATATATATATATGTATATAATACATATATATAATATTATGATAATATATATATATATACATATATATATATATATACATACGGGGAATCATCCCAAATGGCCGTGTGATAAGAGCTATTCTCAGGTTGTTGAATTATTGCAATTCAGCCAGATTATATGTGTTGATTTGTGTTGATGCATCCCAATAGAACCAACAAACTCGAGGAGTTTTTCATCTAAAGGAACTATTCCCGTGTCTAGGAATCTTAGCGGAATTGGTGGGGCTGAATTCAAACAAAGCTCGTTTTGTGGCTTAGCCACCGGACTTGATCAACCTGACGACTGATCGAATCGCTGACTGCTCGTGAAAGGTTCCTGTCAGGATGATTGAAACCATAGATCCGGCCGATAGCATCCTAGCATTTGAATGTGCCAACAACCCTAATCCCAGTAGAATCCCATGGTACCCCATGCCAATCCCATTCGAATCCCATTGTGGCGCCTGACCCGAGCCCGATGTTTGTTTCTTCATTCATGTCCAGACTTGGGAAATCGGAGAGGAATATGTCTGAATTCTTCGTAGTATCCGATGTGATCTCCGATTCAATAACAAGTTGGTGTATGATACTCAAATAACTATATTTAGATGGGGTTATAAATCAACAAACATTTCACGTTTGGGGGCTTCATCCTGTAGGTTTTCGGTGGGCCCGACACATTTTCTCCGACACGTCTCTCCATGACCTGGTGACCTGACCTGACGCAGAAATCCATGCGATGTCGAGGAGGCTCCACCCCTTGTTGGCAGTCGTTGCTTCATCCCACGGATTAGTTCAGAACTTGGTTCATCTTAGTTCACCCGAGTTGTTTGAGTACCCTCTGGTAAACTAACATAGATGAAAATGACTCATTTATAGTGGATTGAGTTTTTAAAAATTGTGATTTTCCGTAGTTTGGTGACAGTTTACCAGAGGGTAACCCTAGAAAAATCTCAGAAAACCAGTGATAAAACCGAGGATTCGTGGGATCATATCCCGTTAAATATCACCATTTTCAACAAATTGCCTCCCGATTTTGAACAATAAAGATAATGTCAACCCCGGATTAATAAACCATGGTGTATTAATTATGGGGTACTTCTCCAATAGTCATGATCTGATTAATCTGATACTTAAATGGTACCCTCCCAATTAAACAGCCGTTTGGGGTTTATTAATCCAGGGTTGACATTAACCTACTTGAGATTCGTGGGATGAACAGTCCCCAGTTCTGATGGTTAAGAATTGTCTGATGGTTAAGCCCCACGCTCTCATCCAAAGATCATGATCCAGAAATTACAATCCCATGATAGTCCATGTTAACTCCATTAGAATCCCAGAATAACCCCCGTGAATCCCATTACAATCCCATGATAATCCCCATTCTTCACTACTTTTTTTTCCCCATGATATACCCTTTTTGTTTCACCAAAGACTCTCCAACAATTCCTATTTTTCTCATTATTTAAATGAACTATCCCAATCTTTGGATGTTCACATCCCAATGAATCATCTAAAAAAGAACCAGGTTATCTCAAAACCGGATCCCTAAAAAAATATTTCATCAGGTTATGATGCCAACAAAAAATAGCCATCAAAGGCATTATTTTAGATGTCATCAAAGATTATGATGGTCCACAATTTTTCATTACCCCATTTTGTGTGTTGCTTTTTGAGGATCATAATCCATTGGGATTTTCATCCAAGGGATCTCAGGGATACTCAATCTCATTATCTGGTTGGTGGTTTGGAACATGTGGATTATTTTCCATTATATATATATGGGCCATATGGGATAATCCTTCCCATTGACTTTCATATTTTTCAAGATGGTTGAAACCACCAACCAGATACCTACCTCAAACATTAACACCAACACGTCGAAAAAATATGTATGACATTGATAAGTATCCATTGATAAGTATTCATAGAGTTTTTGTTGGAAGATCCAAGCGATTTTCCAAGCCCGCCAGGGATCAAGGAATGGCCTGCTGCCTGTCCCTTGGCGCCTGCGCGTGACCTCTGGGCCGGACAGGAGCGACGACTAGCGACGACATGACGTGATGGCGCCGCCACTTTGGGAGTGATTTAAGAAGATTTAAGATTTTTTGGTTCGGGATTTCATAGGATTTTTGTTAGGTTTTTAATATATTTTAGTGAGAGCTTTGTTGGATTTGTTTGTGCTTGAATGGTAGATGTTCTTTGTTTAATTTGTGTTGTTGTTTTTTTTCAGATGTTGTTTTTGTTGGGTTGTATTTTTTTGTTTAATGATGGTTTTGTAAAAATTGCGAATATTCACTACAGATCCATTTCTCACCACTCATGGGTCTAGCTTTCTAGCCGAACCACAGGTCATGTTTGGTGTCTCTTTGAGCATGTCATTTTGGGTGCCAAACTGAAGAGACCATTGGACCGTCAAGGGATGACATCTGTTTACTGCGCCGGATTGCGGATTGTCGTTTTGCGGATTGCTGGTCGTGAGTGGTTTTCATGTAGCAGTTCTGTGCTAGTTAAGCTTGTTTAAGAGGCACTCCGTAGTACGTACTCTACACTACGCTTTAGACTACTCTTGCACGACACCATTTTCCACTACTCTACACGATCCTGCACTTCTCTACACTAGTTTACAATACTATGCACTACTCTTCACTACCCTGCAGAAAACAACTGTGCAAGAACTGTAACACTCCTTTAACATTCAGTATGGTCCATATGTTTGATTTTTTTCACTTCCATACTACTCTTCACCACCTAACACGACTTTACGTTACCTTGCGTTGCTCTACGCTACTTACTTCGCACTGCTCTATAGGCTATGTGCATTACTCTACACCACCTTCAACCTTTGCACTACTTTCCATTGCTTTGTATATACACCTGAGTGCTCCTCCCCCCAACACAGAGACGTAGAAGCAGCAGGCTAGTAGCACCTCGGAGTGCATTCGGAGTGGTTCGGGGCCCGAAAGCATTCCCTTTGTACTCCTGAGTGCTCCTCCCTCCAACGCAGAGACGTAGAAGCAGTAGGTTACAGTAGCACCTTGGAGTGCATTCGGAGTGCATTTTAGTGTAAGAACCAGTATTAGGAGGATTATGGATTAGTTTTGTATCCTCCGAATTTCGAAGTCCCCAGTCTGCACCAGCCCCCAATATGATTTGAATATGCCACCAGCAAGGACGAAGGACTGGACCACAAAAAGCAAGATATTGTTTGGTTCGTGGTTTTCATTTTGTTTCCAACCAGATTTGGGTGATGTGAGGAGCATATTCTTCAGGGGGATTGAAATCAAGAATCAGTTCTCTATGTTTAGAGATTGCATTGTTTTTTTTTTGGGGGGGTGCGGGGGACATTGTATGCCGAAGTTTCATAGTTTTGACACAGAACCAGACTGGCCGATAAAAACTGGAACTGCAAGCGTATATGGACCTAGAAGATGGACGTCATAGAAGTCGTAGATGGACGTCATGGAAGTTATGTTTGGTGAAATACCCGACTTTATAGAGCAAATAATATAGGAACATGTTGATGTGCAACATACTGTACTTACATATATATATATAACTATATATATATATACATAAATATACAGATAGATAAAATTTGACAATGGTAGATAATATGATAGATAGGTAGATAGATATGTAAATAAAACTTTCCAGATAGAACAGATAGCCCACTCATTTAAACAAATCTTGTGTCTGCATCCAAGCCCCTTCCTTTTCCCACGAGGAGAAGCATAAAAGCCGCAAGCGGAGCACGACGGGCATGTGGACCTGCGGTTACTGCCAGAAGGTCCAGTTCTCTGCCATGATTTCACCATAGCTGCGATCTACCCCTGGTTGATGATTAGTTGGGGGATTAACCACTATAAAAATAGGGGTTGAGCCATCAAAAAAACCCTGTTGGTTGATGATTATAGTATATTATAGTAATTTAAACAGGAATATCAGTGAATATAACTGATAAGTGATGGTTGATTGATGATTAGTTGGGGGATTATACCCAACATATTGGGAATCATAATAATCCAAGAACGGGGAATCCCTATTAACCAACCAGTACAATGGAATAACAAAGAGCTGTGGGCCCAAGTACTTGCCAGTAGCATGTCTGGGCTTGGTGACCTGGGACTTTCGCCGCAATGGGATGATTTGAAGCTGGGGGACCAGACGGACATCAGGTGTTAAGCATTTGTGCAAGGGTGTCATCACTGGACAATTCTTTGTTGCTTCTGGGACACTTTCCAATTTGCCTTGCTATACATTTCTGCAGTGTCATGTGATGGGAATCCGCCCAAGGGTTCATGTCAATGCGGCGATGGGTTTCCCTCTCGGTCATGGGGTACCTACAGAAGGTATCTACTCCAGCGCGTTGAAGTTTGTGCTGGAGCTGGATTCATGGGTGAGGGTATCAAAGCTTGTGGGATTTCCATTGAAGCGGTTAATGACTTGCAAAAGGAGATGGGCTTGTTTCAACTCCGACAAGGCCAGAAAAGTGTGGTAGTTGGGGATATTGGAGACCCAGCCATTGTCGCTACCTTGCATAGTGCTTGCCAGTCACCAGCCTTGGTATCAGGAGGTTTCTCATGCCAACCATGGTCAGCGTTAGGAGACAAAAGGAAAAGTGGTGACCCTAGGTCTGGAAGCCTGGTCAAGTTGCTTAGGTTAGCTTTTTGGCTCCGTGCTCATTCAGTTATCCTGGAATGTGTAAGTGAGGCAGGTGAGGATCAAGAGGTGCAGAACATCATAGCCAGGTTTTGCAAGCTGACAGGCTTCAATCAGTCACAGGCTGTCCTGCACCTAGAATCCATCGTGCCAGCCAGGCGTACCCGATGGTGGTGTATGCTTTCCAATGCATCCGTCCCAGGGTTTTGCATCCGTCCTTTGCCAAAAATGCATCCGGCTCCGAATGTTGGGGACATCTTTCCAACTTCCCCCCAATGGGACCCTCAAGATTTGACTCAATTGGAATTGGACCACTACGAGACCAACAAGTTCATGGAGTTTGGGGGACTGTTTGAAAACCTGGTCAATGTTGCGGCACCCCTCAAAACTGCATGGGTGGGCCAACCAACTTACAGGGTGCCCTTGTTTGTGTCGGCAATACCATTTTTCTGAGGAGAGGTTGAAAAGTAAAGGGATCTTTGGTGCCCTCATCCAGTTGGGAGGTGAATTTGAGACCTATCAGGGAAAACTCCCGAAGACCAGACATATGCATCCGTGGGAGATGGCCCTTCTCCATTGGGGCCAGTCCGAATCGTCCATGGAAACCGAACTTACGTTTCAGCATCGCTGCCTTAGGCCAGATGGCAGCTCCGATCCAATCAGCCTGGGTAGTTGCACAGTTTCAGGTTCACCGGGCACAGGCCGAAGGCCTCCAGGTGATAGCTGAGGAAATTTTGTGTAACCATTTTGCCACGGTGTTCAGGGATGCTGCGTTTAGCAGACCAGACATCATTGCCACCAATGCTTGTCAGAATTTCGCCAACAGGGTCTACAGCTGTTTGCTTGCTTCTGCAGCGGCCCAAAGTGGCCCTCAGAAATCCATCAGTGTTGACGAGAAACAAGAACGAGAAAACAGCCAGCGGAAAGGACGCGAGAACCTTCCAAGGACAGCGCCCATTGGGGCCCACAAACAGCCAGCGGACCAGTCGCAAGAACTGAGAAGAAATGAGGAAAACCAGCCAGCGACCAGGACGCAAGAACCTGGCCCTCCTATGGTTTTGCAGGCCATGCCAAGTGGTCACCCGAAGGTCATTGGCCCCTCCCCCCTTGAGAAAGGCCCCTCTAGGAAGCCCTGCTCACCGAGCAGTGTTGACAAGGATGGGGTTGTTGTTGACCACCTGGACAAACAGCCAACGACCAGGACGTCAGAACCTGGCCCTCCCATGTGTTTGCAGGCTATGCCAAGTGATCACCCGAAGGTCATTGGCCCCTCCCCCCGAGAAAACAGCCCTGGCCCCTTGCCCTGCTTTCCTGGCAGTGTCAGCAATTTGCAAGTAGGTTTGGAGAATGAAAAGGGTGGAGAACGCTCAGTTGCCAAACAAATGCATAGGGAACTTTTCCAAAAGCAGTCCAAGCAGAAAGGGACTCCTTCCAGTCGTGATGATGCAGGGAAAATTCATGAACCGAATGGAACAAAGGCCAAGCACTGGTCAGATCCAGGTAGTTCATCCACTTGTGTTGTGGGGGCATTGCAGCTTTTGCCACAGGAGCTTCCTCTGGCTCACAGATCACTCTGCCAAGTGTTACCAACCAGGATTGCGAGACTCCCCGGGGAGGTGACCCAAATGAAGAAACCAATGTCGAGATCCGAAATCCGATGCAGTTGAGCAGCATGTAGCTGGAGATATTCCTACACAGGAATTAGCTCAGGCCGCCGTTTTGGCAGAAGCAGACCAAGCATCCGATGCACCGGAGAAGGGGAAACACACAGTACAGCTCTTCCTAGAAGACTTTGCACAGCCATGTTTGATCCAGATGTCCAAAGACGCCACAGTCGGATCGATTACTGTTGCTGAGGAGAAACTGGGAACCTTGACTCAACCGATCCATGTCTGTTCTTGCATTGGTACTGCCCTCAAGCTGTCAGAACCGATCACTCCATATCAACAGATCTTCTTGCGTGAGACTCATTCCGCTGAGGCAGGGATCTCTGGGATGTTGCCACCTTTGCTGCAATCGACAGTTCCCACCACCAGAGCTCAGGTGTTGTTCAACCAACAAGCATGGGTCGCGGTTGATGAAATGGATTTTTACTTGGGGATGCTCAACTCCACTGGAGCTTTGAAAGCAGTAGGACCATGTGCCATGCCTCAACACACAGAGGATGATGAGCTAGAAAACATGATGCAACAATGGTTTTCAGAACTGCTGCCCACTACCGATCACCAAGGACCAGCCATTTCTGCGTTGCTTGTTGACCAACATTGGTTTCCCGTGATTGTGACTCCACAGGTTGGCAAGGTGTTGATTTCGACCACGCTTGGTGGTCAGGGTTGGGTAGAATTTGCAGTCCGATCACAAGGGGTTGAATACACAATCCAGCCAGTTCAACATTCCTTTGTCACCCATTTCAACAATGATTGTGGTTTCAAAGTTGTAGCCTGGCTGACCGAAGCTTTGTTTACCCCTGATTTTGGAGAGCCTTTGCACCGGGTCAAACCAATCGACACCACCACTGCCATTGCATGGAGAGCGATGTTTGAATTCCATCTTCACAACAACAGCCTCATTGACCATGTTGTGATTCCGGCTGACATGCATTTTGGGGGAACTACCAATGGTGATGTCACAAAGAAGTTTGAAGATCTCCTGATCGATCGAGGGGTCCCAGCTACAGTAGCACCTGATCGTGCAGCAGCCATAATGGATAAACTGGGGCGGCTTCAGATTGCCAAGGCTATCCGGGGATCAGCAGCATGGAAGGAAATCAAACAGCTAGCCAACCTTGCCTCCCCCAAAGTTCAGCTTGTTTTGCCGTCTGAAATGCAGGAAGCAGTGCAAAACCGTATTTCCAATGGGAAACCTTTTGGGGACAAGAAGAAGAAAATCCAGTCAGAGAAGAAGCCAAAGAAAGCTGTTCAGGTCAAGCCAGAAGACATCAGCATCCAAGAAGGCATTTTTCGCGATGCCCACAATGGGAACATTGGCCAGCTTCAATTTTGCAACATGGGTCCTGAAGCCAGAGGGGTCGTAGTGGTACAAGCTGAGCAAGCCATCCCATATCTGCGTTTTGCACAACCCTTTTCAAAGCATGCGTTGGCGATGATTGTGGTTGACCATCAGAACCCAATTGTCAATGGAGCGGGTGAAGAAATCAGGTTTCCGGCCAGATGTGAAAGAACAGCTGAACCAATCATCCTTTCAGCACGCATGATCCAACTTGGAGCAGTTGAGGTTTGCCGGGTAGCCCCGACCAATGCCACCCAGGTGGATGAAGTTTGTTCAGTTGTACTTCGCACTTGCACCTATAGGGATGAATTGCAGCCGGGAGTTTGGGACAAGTTTGTAGCAAGGCCAATCAAATGCATAGTGGATGACTTGCAGCTTTTGCAGCCAGATTCGCAGGGTCGGAGTCCTATCATGGATGTTTGGGATCGCCAGTGGCTCACAGAAAAATACCAGCGTACCCGGCCCCAAGAAGCTGCTTTGTTCTGTGTTTGTTTCAGGGTTGAATTGACTGATCTCTGTGGAGCTCTGCAGAAGCATGGCAAGATCGCCACTACATAGAAGCAAGGGATCCTGACGGCCGTGCTCCCCATGGTGATTTCCGGGTCATCTGGATCAACAAGACGGATAGGCAGGGGGTTGTTTTAGCCCCCCAATCCACTGCTGCGTGGACCAGCATTGTCAGAGCTGGTCAGAGGTTCGGTTCGCGTGTGAAATCCCAAGATGCTCAGAAGGTTCATTTGCAGCATAAGCCACAAACCCCTTACCTTGCAGCTGATGACCTTTTGCTTTTCCATGCGGGCCCTTTTCCCCACGGATCCAAAAGAAATGCATTGGTCAAACTTTTTGCAACTTGGCGTTGGCAAGCCAGACCAGGTCAACCAAAGAGCCGTGCCCCCAATGGGAAAGGTGTCATTTGGGAGGTGCAGGCAGTTGCCAAACCACAGTTTGAGGTCTACCAACTGGCACATGCGGACATTTTGATCACACAAGTCGAGAAGAAATCATACAAAAGAACCTCTGCCACCAGGTTCAGCCAGAACCATTGCAGCGTTGACATTGCACACAGCAGCCAAGAGTGATGATGCCGATCCATGGGCTGAGAATGACCCCTAAGGAAAATACCAAGGGCCCACCAAAGTCAGCCGGACTCAGACGCCCCATGAACTTGCCCCAGAGCAGATTGACCTCTTGGCAACTAAGGTTCAACAGAGGATTCAAGGGGTGAAGCCACTCCTCCCAGAAGGTGAACTTTCTGACACTGCCATGGGGTCAGAGGATCGACTCAGCCAATTGGAAGACCGACTCACACAGATGGAGGTCACAATGCAAGATCAGCAAGCCAAGCAAACTCAGGTCAACAACGACCTGGTGCATCAAATCGGCATGGCTCAGCAACAGGCAGAGAAGCAGCCACTTGCAATCCACAGTCACATCGACAACAAAATGCAGGAACAGTTGAACCATATCGAAAGGTTGCTCAGCAAGCGTAGGGCAGAATGACTATCAGGGCTGGCGCCACAGCTGGTGGAGCTGCAGCCATCAAGCACAGCCACCTCCTCCAAGGAGGGTTTTGTACAGCGTCACCGAAAGCGAGGCCGAGATAGAAGCAGTGGAAGCACTTGCCCCCTTGGCTCAGGCTTGTCCAGTTTTGTAGGTTTTTTGGATCACATTTTTCTTGATGTTCGAGAAAACAGAAAGGGCCAGCCCCCCCCACGAGTTCCGACCCATAATTGTTTTGGGTTTGCCATACCGGACATGGAGCACCATCAGGGCCCGACAATGTTTGAAATGGTTTGCACAGTTTGCGCCTGAGGGTTTGCGTGGAAACTTACCAGGTAGATCTACCACTGGACTCTGGTGGAAACTTGCGATGGAGGTCGAGGCGGCCACACAAGACCAGCGGAAAGTTTCTGGTTTCGTGACGGATGTCACCAAAGCCTATAACAATTTGCCACGCCCCATTGCTTTTGCCTGCGCCCTCCATTTTGGGCTTCCTATCACATTTGTGAGGGCATGGCATGCAGCATTGGGCCAGGTACACAGACATTTTGTTGTGTAGGGATCATTTTCAGGACCTGTCATGAGCTGCAATGGGTACCCAGAGGGCGATACACTGAGCATAGTTGCTATGGTCCTAGTGAATTTGGCTCTCCACCACATGCACCAAAATGCCTGTCCATTGGCATCAATCATGACATTTGTGGATAACTGGGAAGGTGTTGCACAGGAAGTTGACCACACTTGCAGGGCATACACAGCTATGGAGAAGTTTGCGGAAATTGTCCATTTGCCTTTGGATACCAAGAAGACCCATTTTTGGGCCAACAACTCAGATGACAGAAGGGTGCTTCGAGCCCGCCAAAAGAAGGTAGTTTTGCATGCACAAGACTTAGATGGCCATCTCAACTTTAGTAGGAGATTCACCAATTACTCTTCCCGTGCCAGAATTGCCAAAAATGCGGCCTTTTGGGGAATGCTCTACAGAAGTTCAGCCCCTTTAGATCAGAAGTTGAGGGCGGTTGCGACCGTTGCATAGCCCAGATGTTTACATGGCATATCCGGGACTGCTCTGGGCAATGAGCATTTTGGGCGCCTGCGAGCCCAAGCCATGGCCAGCCTCCGCTGGGCAAAGAAAGGGGCCTCTAGCGTCATCCAATTTGGTCTCTTGCACCCAAAGCTTGATCCAGGGTTCATTGCTCTTGTAGATACAGTGTGTACATTCCGCAGCTTTTGCAATCCCGACGTCGTGTACGCAATTCTGACAGGACTTATCACATCACCACCAAGGCATTTTGATCCGGGCCCATGTGCAGTTGTGCTTGCCAGATTGCATGAAATCAAGTGGAGGTGGGAGGGTAATGGCTTTCTTGCAGACCATGAAGGGTTGACCTTGCATTTGCTGGACTGCCCTGTCCAACTCTTGAAGCTCCGTTTGCAACAAGCGTGGGAAAGACAGGTAGGATGTTCTATCCAGGAGAGAAAGGACTTTGGAGGTTTGGGTCAAGTTGATGGAGATCTAAGTAGAATCCAGTGGGGCAACACACAAGAGGAGAAAGGGATCTTGCGCTCAGTTATGAATGGCACTTTTTATACTCGAGATAAACAGATTCATGCTGGTAAGGTCCCCAGTAAAACTTGCCCTTTTTGCTCCCAAGAAGACAGCTTGCAGCATCGAATTTGGCATTGTTCAGCCTTTGAAGACCTGAGAATGTCCATGCCACATCATGTCAGATCCTTTTTGGACCAGCAGCCTGATTGCACTCGGCTCCATGCATGGGTTGTAGAAAGCACTGCGGATAAGGAATGGCGCAAGTTATTGCACTCTCTTCCAGGCCATCATGCATGTGTAGGACCAGTACCGGCAGACCCAGTTTTGCATCTCTTCACAGACGGAGGTTGCCTTAACCCCACAGTTCCACATCTTCGTTTGGCTAGTTGGGCTTTTTGCATTGCCAACCTTGAAGCAGACCGTTTTGACTCCGGCGCCAGTGGTATCCTTTCAGGTATGTACCAAACACCTTTGCGGGCAGAGATTCAAGCAGCAGTTGAAGCAATCAAGTTTGCTTGCCAGCATGGAAGGAAGTTCTGCCTTTGGACTGATAACCAACAAGTTTTTGACCGGATCAAGCGGTACATCCTGCCTGAGGCGAGACCGCCATTGCCCAAGCAGCGTGACCATGACTTGTGGGGTCTTCTTTTTTCATGGGTAGGTAGAGGGCGGGAACTCTTTCAAGACGTTGTGAAAGTCGTGTCGCACCTTGACATTCACAGCGTTTAATCCAATAGACCGTTGGGTTGTGCGGGGGAACCAGACAGCTGACCAATTGGCCTCCCAAGTTTTGGATGACTTGCCACTTCACCTTAAAAGAGGACTTGCACGTGTTCAGAGATCTTGGAATGAAAGCAATTGTTTGTCAGTGGTTGCACCAGTTTTTCATACAAATGGGGATTCGTGCAATTGGGGCCAAGACAGTGATCCGTGACAATGACACAGGTGATTGGGAAACGTTAGCTGCACAGAGACAGCAGGTTGAGACTGATCAGATCAGTCTTGATCCTTTTCCAGCTCAGCTTCCGGAGGGTATTGACCATAATATGGCGGATTGCTTTGGACCCATGTTCCAGTGGCTCAAAGGACTTGTAGTAGGAGAAGGTAGGCAGCCAGTCTGGCTGTCAAGCTATCAACTGCTCATCCACTTCCAGGGAACCACAGGGCGCATGGGGGTGTGGTACGACCGGCCAAATCGTCGGTGGCTTTTTGCTGAGGACCACGCACGTGAACATGGCTTTGAATTTACAAGGTATTCTGGTTGGCTCATGTCGGCAAGCAGATTGCAAAGATTTGTGGCCTTACCATCACTGCAAAGCCACAGCTTCCATGTGGGACTTTTTTCAGGAGCTGGCAGAGGTGTATTTGCCTTCGTGTGTCGACATCCCTTTTTTCGCAGGTTGATGGGCTCCTTTATGCAAGAGGTGCCATCGCCATCAAGACAGTCGCTCCTTTGAAACCGTGGTTTCACAGGTTGCAACTTCGCAGCTGCTGGTGCCCTCTTTTTTGCAAGAGGCACCTTGAGCCATTTGTTCAATGGCGTGTCATCCTTGTGCAGGTGGCCATGTCATGTTACATGCCACCCAACTTTTGAACCTTATGGTCTTTTGACCACACATGACTGCAAATGGAGTTATGGCTCGATCAAATGAACCACACTCCCCCCTGCAGGTCACTGCAGTACAGGAAAACATTCAAAACTAAGCCTCGGGCCCTCAGTAGAGCTCCAGCAGCATGTAGCCAGATCCTCAAGGCGCAGGCTCTTCCTCCTCATTGTTGAGGTTTTCATCTTCTTCATCCTCGTCATCAGTGACAAGAGCCCATTCTACCAGCGGCACATCCCAATCCTCTGTCAGAGGTAAGTAGGACCTTGGGAGTCGTGGGTCATATCCAGAGCTCGAAGAGGCCGGCTCCAGAGCGGCAACACCACGTCGAATGATGCCACCACCGCCACGATTGTATCCCACCGAGGTAGTTCCTGAAGTCTTGTTGTAGGAGCTGGTCGGGTCATGCATAGGGACCAGCCTTGTTTCCTGAGACTCAGCACTTGACAAAGTCCCAGTTCCACTCGAAGCCAAGCATCCATCCAGGTACAAACGGCCGATTACCAGGCCAGGTTCCCTTTGGGGTCTTTGGCGCCTTGGAGTCAGCATTTCACTGTGAAGACCGACGTGCACGTCCATGTCGTCCTCCTTTTCCTCATAGTGAGGAAGGTATACCCGGTCCATTTAGTTTCGGACCGTACCACGGGATTGTCCCATCTGTCAGAGACTAAAAATCCCGGACCATCATCAGCAGGGTTCAGGAAAAAGGCCTTGGTGACCCTTTCACCTGTCAAAAACTTCGCCTCAACAGGTGCTGAGCGGTGCAGTGGGTGGAAGCGCTGTTTTCGAGGCGCTCTGTGGACCTTTACCAGGAAGATCTCATTTCCACATTTTGCAACGGACCAAGAGTCCTTTTTTCCAGTTGTGTTTGGCTGGCGGTATTTTTCATCCAACCAAGGTCCATGTCGAGGCATTTCATCTAGCCCCGTACCCCCAGATTTTTTCTGGGCTTTTTCAGCCTCCCTTCTCGCAGGCGGGAACTTCGGCAAAGTGCCGATGTAGGGGTCTTGCTTTGGACGACCCGCAGAGCTTGCAGCATCTCCCATAGCCGATGCACACAGCAGCATCAGCGGTGGAGCTTTTCGTTTTGGGCCAGCAGCCGCAGGCATAGGCGCAGCAGCAACAGGCGGCGCAGCGACAGCAGCAGGTTCAAACACCTGCGGCGGCACAGGTGGCTTCGGCTTTGACATCTTCGGCGCCATGGCTGCGAGTTTGACCAAACTACGACTGGGGCAGCCCGGGGGGCAGTGGTCCTTAACGGCCAACAGTGGCCGTGAACTGACGTCATGTTTTCCAACTGGAGAGTCACAACCAACGGACTCTAAAACATGTTGCGCCTGTCCACAAGAGTGCCAAGCCACGCAATCCCCAAATTCATCTTCGGAGGTACAATCCCAAAATTCTTGAGGGGTATGGTATTCACGGTGATCCCAACAAACTTCATTTGAGGGTTCCCAAAACTCCCCAAGGTTGTTGTCTCCAGGTTCGTTTTCCCTTGGAGCTTCCACACATTTCAAGGTTTCATTTTTCAGGGTTGATCTTCCAGGTTCATTTTCCCTTGGAAGATTTGTTGCAGCCGGTTCGTGTCCCCTGGCTTTTTGGACTTTCTTCTGGCCAATGGTTCTTGATGGTTTTTCCACCTCCCACCCTATTGAACAGGCCTCTTTGGGCGAACCTTCTTTTGAAGGTGGAGAATGCCAAACAGCAGCAAGCCACTTCGCCAGTTCCAGCACCAGGTTAGCGCACTTCAGCCGCAGGTCCGCTGCATAGCACTTCGCCATAGCAGCCGTAGACAGCGCAGCAATGCAAACCAGTGCTTTGACCTTCTTCACGGTGAGATCATCATCAGTTTCCTCAGTTTTTTCCTTAGTGCTTTCAAGTCCTGAAGCAGGGCTCGGCACGGCAGGTTTGTTTTTGGTTTTTGTTTTGGGGCTGTCTTCACCATATTTTGGGATTTCGGGGTCAACATGAAAACCCAACAAATGCCAAAACTTGATCCAT